ATACCATATTTTTTGCTCTATAAGACACACTTTTTCCCTCCTAAAAAGTAAGGGGAAATGTGTGTGCGTCTTATGGAGCGAATGCAGGCTGTGCAGCTATCCCAGAAGCCAGAATATGGGAAGCCTGGACTTTGAAAGTCATCTAATCTCCCTTGCTGTATTATACTGTATTGATTAATTAGAGTTTTTATGGAGCAGTCAAGTAATTTCGTTGTCCCCGAAGGGGGCAATGACAATAAAGATATTATTATTATTATTATTATTATTATTATTATTATTATTATTAGAATAGCGAGACGGATTGCTGTGCAGCTATCCCTCTTGCTGTTCTGGCTTCTGGGATTCAGAATATTTTTTTCCTTGTTTTCCGCCTCCAAAAACTAGGTGCGTCTTATGGTCTGGTGCGTCTTATAGAGCGAAAAACACGGTATATATGTATCAATTGTATTTATTTGACCATCTGGCGGAGAATAGGGCCTGAACCAATGGGTTCAGGTTACAAGAAAGGAGAGTTCAACTAAACATCAGGAAGAACTTTCTGGCAGTAAGAGCTGTTTGACAGTGGAACACACTCCATCAGAAGGTGGTGGACTCTTCTTCCTTGGAGGTTTTAAGCAAAGGTTGGATGGTCATCTGTCATAGATGCTTTAGTTGAGAGTCCCACATCACGCACCCGACCATAACACACACGTAGTTTTTAGAGGAGGAAAATCCGTAGGCATGCCACCCGTAGGCATTCCCTCCATAACACGCACAGACATTTCCCCTTACTTTCTAGGAGGAAAAAAGTGAGTGTTGTGGTGCAAAAAATACGGTACATGATCCTTGGGGTCCTTTCCAACTCTACAGTTTTATGATTCCATGACGTTTGTTTAATGCATTGTTTCTAACTTGGAGCTACTTGGGACAAGGTAAACACAGAAATTAAATAAAAATACACACATCCATGAACTCTGCAGCCTTTGCTTTTAGGGTATTACATAGCCAATCCAAATTTTTAAATGAAAATCTATGCGGCACAGGACACGGTGCTCTTTTACTGACTTTTCAGGTATAGGTGATTAGGATAAGATGGGCATAGAGGGAGGAGATATAGCCATCTTCAGGCATTCAGGGCAGATGCATGTGGGCTTGAATGTTTTGGGGGCAAATGTGTGTGGGTGTTTTGGGTGAATATGCTTTACAGGGAGGATTCTGAGCACATTCAGCTGACTGTGTTTAGAATACTATGCGTATTAGATCTTCCCTCTCAACATGGGGAGATCTGAAGTACAGCAGGCACTTGTGGAGATGTGGGGGGCAGGGCAGGTGTCCAGGCCCCTCTGCCCATGCTGGATCTACACACATTTAGGCAAATGCCTAAATAGGACTACTGGGAATAGTGATGTGGAATGTGGAGTTGTCCCTCCTGGGAAAATACTTGGTTTTGACTGTCAATACCAGCATCTATATTCTCATTACAAAGCAGTTAGGGAAAAAACCATTAAAGGAAAAAAAGTTTTAGTTGTAACATTCATTCATTCGTTTGTTTTAACGCTTTTGCATAAACAAACTTAGCAGAATGTCTATTTTTTTCAATTCCAGTGAAGGCTTTTGTAAGAAGTAAAGCTGTAGGAACTGTTTCTTTTTAAAACAAGCTCCTCTGCTGAAAACACATCAACATTGCCCATAAGGTTTGGATGTTGTCATGGAGTCATTCATCCACATAAAGGCTGAAGATATGTGATATACTCCTAATTTGCCCTTTCTTTCACAATGCACTAAGATCCCTTCATGTATTTAAATATGGGAGTATCCTTGTCTTCCAAAGCAGGGAGAGGAAACAAATGCAACCCTCCAGCCTTCTCTTTCCAGCCTTCAGAACTCCTATTGCAGCCACATCCCTCACTGTCTCAGCTCTTCAAGTGCTTTTGCCTGGCTGGAATGTATCATTAAACTGAACAGAGAATAGAGGTTTGTGTGTTTATACAAACCTCTTGCAGCCTACTGTTGAAAGGTAAGAGTCACGTCTGTATCCCCACCAAGTTTTGACTATGGCCTCACCCACCACTGTCATTCTGCCTTGGAAAGTTGCCCACAATGGAATGTGGCCCACCATCTGAGAAAGGTTTCCCCACCTCTAAGAGTTATTGCCTCTAGAATAAGCAAAGCTCATGGAAACTTCCTTTCTGCTTTGTTCACACCGAGGAGGGATTTTGAAGCACAGTCTCGGAAATGAACCAATGTTTAACAGCAAGAGGGTTTCTTGACTACTCAGTCTTTTCTCCTACAGCACATCCTGGGTAGACCAATTCATATAACCACATGGCTATCATTTGATCAGCTTTGTCCTCCCTGATGGGTACTGATTCACATACTCCAAAATCTCTAACCATAATACCTGCAGAAGCAATTATTGATGAGAGTGAATGCACAAGGCTGTGGATAACATAGGTGGCTCAAGGCTTAAATTGTTTCTGGGTGGAGTAAGGATTCAGTGTTTCTGTTCTTACTGGAGCAAGGCAATAAGGTTCTTCTTGTAGCTTTGGGCTGATGTGTTCTCAAAGGCCCCTGAGACTGAAATCAGTCTTACCAGATGGCTCTGGCCATGTTAAGATTCAGGTGGTTATGTACTTCTTTGGAAGCCTTTGATGTAATTGACTGATTAACCTGAACTATCAAATGTTTCAGTAGTGTTAATTTATTCAATTGCTGTTTTCTAAAATAAAAAGGGGGACATGTGTGGACAGTGGCATTATATGGTTTAGTAACTAGGGTGGCACTGGACCTAGTTGTAACTGAGCGGAGTCAGGAGTTTCTTGTTGCAGAGAGATACAAAGTTTTTGTATAGCTTTTTTGTTTTCCAGACTCATCTCAAATAATGGTTTGAAGGCACAACATACAATTCCACTGTTGATACCAGATTTAATCCTGTCATCTGCCTGGATAGGATGGGAAACTTATTGGGAACAATATATAAACTGCTATAAATATTTTGGAGAAATAGCATATATGTGTAAAATAACTAAATACATGTTATTGGTTTTTAAACTAGTGTAAGATTTCTATTCATCAGTTCCAATGAGTGCTCTCAGACTTTATTCTTAAGAGCTTGTGATCTACAGATAACATTTACTAATGGAAAAGTAAAAACTATTTAACTTAGTATTCTAATTTCTTCTTGTTTAAACAAGTCATCCTCTCTACTGCATTAACTCCTGATTCATATTGAAAATATCACTCCATCATCTCACAGCTTCCTCTTTACTAGACCAAACAGGCCCAGCTTCCCCACTTTCTCATGAAAACTTTTCAGACTTCATTTGAAACTGTAAGAATAGAAAGTAGACCCTCTGTTGGAAACAATATAAATTTGAATTGTATATTCTAGGCCACAACCATTCTTCTTTAATGACCTACGGAGAATTGCTTTTATTGCTGTTCATATGAAAAACGCACAGTAGGAGAGGCTGGTTCCTGTTTCATTTTCATTGCCCATGCTGCCAATTTCTTCAGAAAATGCACCCGTTATTTGTGTGTTTTAACTGCTTCCAGCTGCACTTCCATTCCTTTGACAATTTGTTTTTGTGAGGCTGTGGATATTTTTGCACATGAATCTTTACTCACAAGCATGGGCATAGCCAGGATTTTTGTTGGGGAGAGTGGCAGGCCTTTTGATGGGGCGGGGTGCAGAACCTCAGTTAGCTATGTCTTTTTATTGATTTATTATTGATTTGGGGGGGCAACTGCCCCTCCCTGCCCCCCCTTGGCTACGCCCATGCTCGCAAGAGAAGGATGCATTGTAGAGTTTGTAATCTTAAGACTGTTAAGTTGTACTTGTGTATGCATATTTCACTATAGGTGCCACTGCATCATGGGTGTTCGAATACTTGAAACTGTTGAATAGTTTTCAGTAAGGCTGCTAAGATTTTTGGAACAAGGTTCTGAATTGTCAGCATGACAATATTTGAACCGAAATAAGCTTTCAGTGAATTTCAGCAGCAAATTATGAACCCATAGATGTTGTACTATTGGACATTGGAGCTTTCTTTCATTTTGAGGATTTACTCATTGGAAGTACAATGCATGTCAACCAATGGGGTAAAAGGGAGTAAAATCTCAGGGGACTATGCATGAAGTCACTAGACATAACTCAAGTACTGATGTTCTTGCAAGAGATAAGCCAGGTACAAAGGGGAATGGGCAAATGAAGCTTAAATAAGCAACAAAGAGAACTGTAAAGCTAAGCAATCATCTGCTAAATACTCTGCTCAGGCTGGTATTTCCCTGGCCATCAGGCCTAATTAAGAAAACCTTCGAAAGGGAAAAGAGAAGGTTCAGTTGGAAAAGCTTAAACTCACATATTCTGTCATGTGAGCTGAAAGCCTTTTGGCAGCTGTAGCTCGGAATTACATGGGGTGGGAGGGAGCAGCAGCTATACGTGTGCAAATTAAGCCGAGGAGTACACACTGCACATGAAAAGGAAAGCGGACTCTATTATGAAGAAACAACCCTGCAGTTTTGTGAATTACTTTCCCTTTTTCTAGAGCGGTGGGCTTGTTAAGCCTGTTGAGCAAAGCGTCCTGCAGCATCTTAAAAGACTGTTAACAAATTTAGCATTGCACTAGCTTTCATGGCCTGGAGACGGTCATATGAAGTCTTAGTAAGCAAATGGCAGACCAAGCAAAAAGCGTGGAAATAGCAGGAGTCTTGTGACACGTTAAAAACTAACAATTTATTACGGAAGCTTATGCCACGATACAATTATTAATTTTTTAATGTGCCACAAGTATCAAAACTTTAAGCAAAGCCCAGTACTATGTTGGTGGCCAGCAGTGCTATTTTTTTTTTAGAAAAAGAGGTGCTGAAACTCACCATGAACATCTCCTTCGTTCTCTTATAATGGCAATGGCGCCCACCTGAGAGGTGCTGGAACTGAGTTCCGGCTAGGAAAAAAAAGCCCTGGTGGCCAGCATTATATACTGACAGCAGACTGCTCCACTTAGCAGTTTGGCCGCTGCATTCTGCATTAGCTTCAGGACCACCTTAAGGGCTGCACCACATACAGTGCTTTGCAGTAATCCACTCTTGAAATACAGTGGTACCTCGGTTTAGGAACAGTCCTGTTTAAGAATGATTTGGTTTACAAACTCCGCAAAACCAGAAATAGTGTCCTGGTTTGCAAACTTTACCTTGGACAAAGAACGGAAGCCAAACAGTGGAAGGGCACTGGCGGCAGGAGGCCTCATTGGGGAAAGCGCGCCTCAGTTTAAGAACGGTTTTGGTTTAAGAACGGACTTCCGGAACGGATTAGGTTCGTAAACCGAGGTACCACTGTAATACTAATACTAATAATATTATACTTCCTAGCAGTGAAAGGTTGCCAGTTAAAGGACCAAATACTAAATCTTGAGCTTGCAGTAACAACACCAGTGAGGGAATGGCCCCAACAGAGTTGAGCACTTGCCTCAAAAAAGAAAAGAGCTGCAGTTGCCAACCTTCAGTCCTGGAAATATTTTGAGAAGTGTGGAACGACTGCTAGCAGCCTACATGGATTTGTTAAGGGAACTAAGCTGCTCTGGCATGTTCTTGTTTGTCGATGTTATTGGCAGGGGAATGTATTAGGCATAATTATTTTGTTTCACACCCGGGCTGGACATTCTCATTGCTACCTATTGAGAGATGAAGTCTCTGCAGGCTATGTATATCCACAGCTGACAAACAAATCATGGCCAATTTATAGGTAAACTGAATTTCAATTACTGAAGTTGATACAAATCCTTCTGGAAATTATTCACTAACTTGAGGCTCCTAATCAACACTTGTGACATCTGAACATTGAACAATGTTACCACAGAGGGACACAGAAACAGATTGATTTTTAATTTATTTTTTTGAATGCACAGATGCAAGGCAAATCTTGGGGGCTGTGCACATTGCTAGGATCTAGGCTCCAACAAGGCATCCCATCAAGTAACACATTACATCTTTATGTGAGAAATGAGACAGGCCCTTTCCACAAAATCCCATATCCCCCATCATGTTTAGGACTCTTGGTCTCATAAAAGTGCAAGCAACTTAATATGAAAATAAACTCACTGTATAGCAGTGACATCAAGTGCAATTTGAGGCTGTGTCCCTTCCCCTTGCACTCCATTTCACTTCGTTGTTGTTTATTTTCCCTCAGGACAAGACTTTTTATTTATTAGTTCTGGATTTCATAGTGCTTACATCTGCCATCAGATCACTTTGCAGCTGGATCCTCTTCAGTACATTTATTTATTTATTTTAAAATGTATTTTTATATACTGTGGGGAGACAGTTTTGTTCCAGAGTTTGAATATTGTAAAAATAAGCAGTGGAAGGAAGAATATACTATCTTCAAATGCCTACCACTTTTATCAGAGCTTTTGTAGCAAGGGTAATGATACTAGGCTCAAATCTTTGGGCTTCAGGATCACAAAGATAGGGTCCAATTTGAAAGCAAGTCGAGTTGTGGCCTGTACTTTGACAGCCTTTGTTTTTGCTCTTTGTAGGTGCAAATTGTCCGAAAACTGCAATTTCCTGTTCAAACATGCCCTCCTCTTGCATGACATTAGGACTCTAAACTTTAGAGCAGAGGTCAAGGGTCAGCAACCTTTTTCAGCCATAGGCCAGTCCACCGTCCCTCAGACCATGTGTTGGACCAGACTATATTTTGAAAAATAATAGTGAACGAATGCCTAGGCCCCACAAATAACCCAGATATGCATTTTAAATAAAAGGGCACATTCTACTCATGTAAAAACACGCTGATTCCCAGACTGTCTGTGGGCTGGATTTAGAAGGCGAATGGGCTGCATCCGGCCCTCCAGGCCTTAGGTTGCCTACCCCTGGCAGAGGTGATAAGGACACAGGCTGGAACGCTTGTGCCTACAGCTGAGATGAAACCTGGGACACCTGAATCTGTGAATTCACTCTGGCCCCTTGGGCAGCTGGTTCCACTCTGTAAGGCAAGTGTGCCCTAGAGTTCTGGGGAGACGTCACAGAGCTGCTATGACTATAAGATCTGTAAGATTGCCCTCTCATGCCTTCTGGAGCTGTGCTTGTGTTTTCATCTTCCTTCTTTGGTGCTTCCTTGAAGCAGACTTAAGAGAGGCCCTAACCACCTTGGAAATAAAGCCAGCGTGCCTCAAAGATGGCCAGAAGCAAAGGTGCTGTGTTTCTCTCAAACTGCTGCACACCAGGGAATTTGTGGACGGCTGTGCCGTCTGCTTGCACTGATTTCTTAAGGCAGAAGGCATAGAAGTGGCCAGTTAGGCAATCCTGCTCAGAATGAGGGTTGCAGGACTCACCAAACAGAGCAGAGCTGGTTGGAGCAAAAAGATACAGTGCACCAAACAAAATGGCACTCCTTTTTTGGTAGTTTAGTTAGGAGGCTTGCCAAACTTCCTGCTCTAAATTTTTTTGCCGTGGCCTGGTGAAGAGTCAATCTCTGGCTACAGCCTTCTCGCCACTCACAAGAAATGGACAGTGGACAAGGGAGGACAAAAACCTCATGAAGAAGACTGAGATTGGGACAAACAAATGGAGGAGATTTTGTTTGGCTATTTGAAGAGGAACAGGCACAGGAATGAAAAGCTGAAGAGGCAAACCACTGGGACAACCACCACACAGGGAAACTCAGAGGAGTTCAGGAAGGAAAACCCAGACAGCCCAAGACACTGGTCGGGACCCACTAGTGATTTATGGACTGAATCAAGGTGGGTCACAATAGGAGCACTACCACCATGCAACTATATGGTAACAGATTAAGAAATGTGTCCCCAAATGCATGTTTGGGTTAAAAGTGGGTCCTGGGTATGAAAAGGTTGAGGTTAAGGATGCAGTAGAGGAAGAAAGAGAAGAGGAGACACAAGAAAGAAGAAAACACTAGCAGATCAATTAAAATGCCCAGCTAAAGGATTTTCCCAAGAGAAGAAAAGACCCAACCAAAAACAGCAGGGTAACTGAAGGGCAGAATGATTCCACCCCTTAAAAGAGGAGGCAAAAGGCCTCGCCTGTCAGGTCCAAATGGGAAGTGTCACCCTCACAATAAAATGTTATCCAGCCTAATAGAGCCAAAACATGTATGCACTGTACTATAAACAGAGTTGTACAAGGCTTACAAAGCGTGCTTCATGGAAACGACAAACAACAAAGCAGGAATGACAAGCAACAAAGACTGTAATGGACATTTGCAGATATGGAAGTAGCCTTAAGATTTAAAATGGGGACAGAATATTGTCTAGAATCTGAGGCATGGGACTTAAAGGGGGTGGGGAAACTGCTTTTCTTCCTTTTCTGCCAAAAATCTGCCAACAACTTGGTGTAATTTCAAGTATCTCACTCAGTTTCTCTATCTTTAAATTATTTTATTTACAAAGCAGTGAAGGAAGGGATAAAACTTTAAATGATAAATGTTTATAAATATACCAGTCCCTTGGGTGAAATATCTCCAGAGAAAATGACAGAGGAAAATATTTAAGAGCTTTGTCCTTGCAAAACCATTATGTTCTGACAGTACAGGAGAATCTAGTTAAACAACTCTTGCATTGTAGAGGTTTTTGTGTGTGTGTTTTAATTTTAAGTACACTCTATACACATTCTCTCTTTCTGCCCTCCGCCCCCTGAAGATTTTAGGCTTACACGGACCATGGTAGTTCCCTGGAGACCTAAACGTCCTTCTGTGGAATTTTCCTTGCCATTCAGCCTATTGTGCTACTGAAAGGTCTTGGAACTAGGCATGTGATCATTTGGGGGATGGGGGTGGGAAGAAAAGGAAGGGAAGAACTTCTGTGTCTCTGAATACTTCCACAAAATATTCATTGGTTATCTAGTTCAAATGATGTTCCTGCTCTGTCCAGTTAAACAGTCAAAGGTAGGCTATGCCATCAAAACAGGAAGCTCCCTTTTCCTTTAAGTTACTCAACCAGTAACACAGAAGGTGGGGAGCATTCCCCCATTCAAGAATTAATTTGCATTTTTTTAAAAATAGGGGCTCAATGAAACAGAACAATGCAGTTGGTAGCTGTAGCAACAAGTTCTTTGTGACTGGAGAAGACAGCCAATGTGAGGATATGCTTCCAAAAGATTATCTTTGGATTGACACTATCCTGTCTACGTGTGCATTAAAAATAAAAACTTTGGCTCTATTGATGGCTTGAAAGACAAAGAGAGATGGTTTCTGCTTAACTAAATGGGTTTGTGCCGAGTAACGGTCATGTGATGATATGTTGAGCTCTTTAGCATGCACCGAATCCTCCCTCCCTACTTGAGTAAAATAATTTCCTATTCATTTCAGTGAAGGGACAGTTCTGTGTTTCCTTTGTGTTTCTCTCCACTGAAATGAATGGGAAAAGTCTTACTGTTTAAGTTACTGTCTTACTGTCCCGAATTAGCAAAACTGTCCGTTCCTCATCATTTTGAGAATACTTGGCACCTAGACAGTAGCCTAGCCAGGCTGAGTAGTGGGGATATTTCTCCAAGTGATCTCATCTTAACCATGCTATCTCATTTTCACCTTGCAGTTAACTCTCACCTACCAGCCAAATAGATTTGGCTTGCCTTAGGCTGGGACTGAGGTTTTGCTCTGCAGGAAAAGCCTACTGATATTTGCAGTTTCCACTTCCGTTATGAACAAATTGCTCTCTTCTGTAACAACCCAACACACTGTCTAGTGCCATTGGTAGGCAAACTAAGGCCCGGGGGTCGGATCCAGCCCAATCACCTTCTAAATTTGGCCTACGGACGGTCCGGGAATCAGTGTGCTTTTACATGAGTAGAATGTGTGCTTTTATTTAAAATGCATATCTAGGTTATTTGTGGGGCATAGGAATTTGTTCATTATTTATTTTCAAAATATAGTCCGGCCCCCCACAAGGTCTGAGGGACAGTGGACTGGCCCCCTGCTGAAAAAGTTTGCTGATCCCTTGTCTAGTCCTTTGTAAAAACTAGTAGCAGATAGATTGTTTACACTCCCTTTGCTTTTTTTTACTCCTGTTATTGAAGTACGGAAGACAATGTAGTCCTTAGGTAGGATATTGCCTGGCCTCCTTGGGGTGTGTAGGTTGGCACCAGTGTGCTTAACCAAAGTGAAATAAGCAATCTAAGTGGATCCATTTTAAAAGCAGGTATCTTTCCAACTGAACTCTATTGTAACATGGCAGCTAAAAAAGTTCTCTTAACATCATTTCTGCCATAAACCTACTAGGTGACGAGCCACTCTCTTTCTGCTCCATATCTGCAATATGGGGAAGATAATGCCGATCTACTGTACAGGAATGTTGTAGCAGTTGCATCAAAATAATATTCATGAAGTGGCTATTTGTTACTGTGGTTATCATTAACTCATAGCACATTGGCTGCTGGACTGACTTTGCCACCAAACGGGTCTCCCCTTCATGTCCACATTTTTCTGCTGGTGACAGATTCAGGATGACATCACAGCTGAGTGTGGCTTGCATTGGCTGGATGTTCCTCTGCAAAACAGCCATGTGAATATATCCTTCCTCTCACGTATGGGCAAATTCTGTCATTTTTCCCTATTAGTTTGGTATATCCTTTAATAAAGCAAGATTGAATGACATTAGCTAATATTTGTATAGTGCTTTGAGAATGGAAACAAAGTAGTGGTGATTCATGTTGATCTTTTAGATTTTACTGGTAATCTGCTATGAAAATCATGCCGTACACATTTTGAAGCATTACAAAGTTCACTGCAGCTTCTCAGATCTCAGTAGATGAGCTTTTGTTGCATCAGACAAGAGATAGGGATCAATATAAAATGTACAGAAAAACACACAACTATTAACTGAAGAAGGAAGTTGAGTGTACTACTTTCCAATATGCAAATGTTAATTGAGGAGAATTTTAAGATTACAGACTCCAGAGTTCGTTATCTATTCAGAAAAATCTAGCAGCCATCATATGGAGCAGTTGCTTCAGACCAAGAAATAGTATCTACACTTATCAAGCACGTGTTCCCTGTTCCAGTTGCTTGCAGTCCTGCATATTGTAACTGCTGATGTGTACTAGGGAGTCTCACTGGGGAAACTGGATAAAGCCATTTCAGGTTCATTTTTAAAGGTGTCTTTCCTCACTTTTATGGCTTGCAGCACTGGACTTGTTCCTTCCCAACCGCAATATGGCTGGTCCTTTTGATCTGAAACATACAAGAAATAAAACCAGTTTCAGTGACAACATGATGTACTGTGCACAACTGGGTTTTTTTAAAAGGAAGTTTGAATGATGGCATTTCTGCCTACAAAGAGATACTAGATTCTTGGCCCACTCAGAAATCAGCACTATCTAAGACTGCAACATAATGAATTTTCCTGTGTTAGCTAGTTTCCATATGCTTCCTTATCTATCTTCTGCTTTTGATCAATGCATTATCATTTTTGCAAAGGCTGACCAACTGCTCCAAATGCTTAAAACACCAGACCACATGGCAGGGAGTTCACCTGAAATAGCATCAAATAAAATGAAAATGAAAAACCAGAACTGTGTTGAACAAGACACTTTGTCCATTTTGCATGGCTGTTCTCTTCAACACTTTTGGCAACCTATACTTGTAATAACCTGATATAAGATGAATATATTTATTAGTCACTCCCCCCCCCCAAATGAAGGCAACTTTTAAAAATGAACATTGAAACCAATGATAAATCAGCCCCAAATACACAAATAATATATACATATAAAGATCCAACTCCATCCCAACCTGCTAAAATTAAGACCCAAAGGCCTGTGTGATTAAGAATAATTTTGCTAATGATGGCATCAGGCATGTCTCCCTGGGGAGGGTACTCCATAAAAAAGAGGCGCCACCACTGACTGGCAACCCATATGCTATAGTACGCAAGTCAAACTATATTATTATAATTGACCTCACACCAGGCGCCAAAGCAAAGGGGGATGCTTAGAAGTGCAAGCTTCTTCATTAGCCATGGCATCTAGTATTAAAAGCGGTTAAATTCCACAACGATGACACTGAGATTAAGAGGAACAAGCCAAAATTTAGATATCCCCACTGATGATGATCTAAGCAACTTCTCTGTTCATGAGGCAGACTTGTGGGTGGTAACTGGCACGTCTCTGTTGAAATGGATGAAACTTTGCTGATTTTTATCAGCTAAGGATGTAGACCCAGGTATGTTCACTACATATCTCAGCTCCCAGAGAATATGTGCTGATGGCAAACAGCCCTCTCTGCTAATCTATCCAATCTCTGTATTGGAGATTTTCTGAAGGCAAAAGTATTTACTAAGGTTGCACGGAGGCAGGAGAGTTTAAAGAAATTTATCTTGCAGCCTTTCGCCAAACTGCCCTGGTACAATGTTCAGTATTATAGGGTTTTTATCTACCTTGAATTTTACAATACTGGCCTGGTTTAGATGATAATCTCCCCTGGTCATCTCCCATGTGGAAGATTGCAACATCCTTCTCCACCCACTGGGCACAGTTGTCCTGACAGACATATGAGCAGGTTTTTATAGCATGTATGTGCATAAATCTAATGCACATAGGTCGGAGCAGTGTGATGGGTATCTCAGATGGATAATCTGGGAACTGACCACACAATCTTGGTCTGCATGTTGTCTTTTATGCATGACAATGCCATTAAAATGTTATACTCATGCATGGTGGACTTGGCTGGAGTATTGGAGTACATTGTCATCAATATGCTGATAAGACATAGCTCTGCTTCTCCTTTACATCTGGAGGTGTGGCAGTGACTGTGTTGAACCGTTGATTTGCCTCAGTAATGGACTGAATGAGAGTCAACAGACTGAAGCTCTGTCCTGATAAAACTGAGGTACTGTTAGTGGGCAGTCCCCTAGACCAGATGGACAAAAGGTTGCTTGCTATTGATGGGTTTATACTGCCTCTGAAGGAGTGGGTACACAACTTTAGGGCACTTCTGGGCTCTTTGCTGTCGCTTGAGGCTCAGGTGGCCTCAGTGGTGTGGAATGCCTTCCATCAGCTTTGGCTGGTGGCCCAGCTTCATCTCTTAACTGGATAGGGATAGCCTAACTTCTGTTGTCCATGATGTGCCAACTCTAGGTTAGATTACTGCTATGTGTTATATGTTTCAGAAACTATAGCTGTGCAGAATTCAGCCATCAGGTTGCTTACCAGGACAACATGTTTTGAGCATATTATACCAATCCTGGCTCAGGATTAGTTTCTGGGTCTATTTCAAAGTGCTGGTTGTGACCTATAAAGCCTTAAACAGCTCTGGACCACAATAACACAAGGACCACCTCTCCCCATATGAACTGATCCAGACAGCATCATCATAAACATCATGAATTTGTATACTGCCCTATACCCGTAGATCTCAGGGTGGTTCACAACATATAATTACAATATTAAAAAACAAAACAAAATCATTATATGAGGCCCTTCTTCATGTGCCTCCTCCAAGAGAGGTCTGTAGCATGGCAATGCTGGAATGGGCCTTTTCTGTGGTGGCTCCCCAATGGAATGTTCTCTCCAGGGAGGCTCGACTTGTGCCTTCATTACATATCTTTAAACACCATGCAAAAACATTTCTTTTCAACCAGGCTGATTAACATTCTATGACTTTTTGTTTGTGGGGGGGGGGTTTATTGGTTGGTTTTTGTTTTTGCTTTATTATGTACCTGGTATTCTCACTTTGTATTCTTCTCTTGTGAACTGTTCTCATATCTTCACATGAAGGGTGGTGTAATAAATATAGGGGTTGCTCGTGCGTAAGTTGCCGCCACTCCTGGCTAGGTTGCCTGGTTAAACCTTTTCCGCCTGGACAGCCCTTCACTTCGTGGCTGTTTCAGTCGCTAGCAGAATCCGTCAATGGGTGTTTCTTAAACCTTTTCCAGCATAAAAGCTGTTTGACGCCAAGTCTCCTCCTACTCTCCCTGCGCGGAAGTCTTCTGCGCAGGGAGGGTGTGGGTAGCGGAGGACCCGTGCTCTCCCCGCTGGTCTCCGGTGAGGAGTCCTGGAGCCCCCTCGCCGATTCCCCCATCTGCCCCCCTTTGTCCCTGGTGTTACGCTGATTTCCTTCCCCAGCTGATGAGCTGCCTCTCTCCCTGCTGGGCCCTTCTCCTGCATCGCTTGGGAGCCTTGCCTCCGCCTCTGGCTCCGATGTCAGTTCCCTGACAGGTGGTATACAAATTTAATCAATAATAATAACATAAGTGGGACAGACATACAGTGGTAACTCGGGTTACATACGCTTCAGGTTACAGACTCTGCTAACGTAGAAATAGTATCTTGGGTCAAGAACTTTGCTTCAGGATGATAACAAAAATCATGCTCCGGCAGCGCGAGGCCCCATTAGCTAAAGTGGCGCTTCAGGTTAAGAACAGTTTCAGGTTAAGAACGGACCTCCGGAATGAAGTACTTAAGTACTTAACCTGAGGTACCACTGTATTGAGTGGGCAAGGGAGGAAAGCAATTGTTCTTTTCTTGCACAGGAAGCAGATCAGCTGAATTATCCAAACATGGCCGGTACATGGCCTGAGGTGCAGTAGGAAAGGTAGACTGCTCAAACTTCCCTTGAAGGAAGATGCTGAAGCCTGTACTAAAGGTACCCTCTAAGTCTAAGATCATCCACTCACAGCTATCGGCAGCTAAGGGCAGAATAGCAACCTGGAAAAGCACTCAGTTCTTATCAGGAGAAAAATATTCCAGGTGATAATGAATGACTGCAGATTACATCTCTTTGTTTGGAAGACAGCTTAGTCCAAAGAGAAATGTTTGCTACTAATAATTACACTGCAAGGTGACATAGACCTAGGCAAATATGTGCTGCAACATGCTGGATTTCTTCAGCTGATCATTCAAACAAGCTCCATTGTAGTGCTGAAAAGTAAAGTTCCCCCAAGGCCCCCCACAGGGCAACATGCACCTAGATGAGCTCATCGCTATTGTTCAGGAACAAAGCACTGAAGTATGTCAATAAAGCTGGGTAAAGATGCTGTTTAAATGAAAAGGCATAGAGTCACAGGGCCCGTGGTGAATCTAATAGTGAAGCCCTGTGTCCACTGGAAAGTTGGGGAGAGGGTAGCATGTGGACTCTGCAATAAGAAAGGGAGCAAGTGTGTTTAAAAATAAAAAGAGAAGCACTTGTCTTCTTTGCTGTCCTCTCAGCATTATCAGCCATATCACCAGCCAGTAAGACTATGAGATCATCATACTAGATTAACTAGTTATTGACCAAAGTACCTGGAGTCTAGCAGCTAACCTGAAGCTTTCGCCTTGTTCAAGTATCAGAACTAATGTTTCAGACATATTGCTAGCACTGCCACTGCTAAGTAGGGATAGCTGTAGGGCAACTATAACCCAAAAGAGGGATCAGAATTCTGGTCTACTAAAGAGTTCTGAAGTAAGACTTTTTCCTATTGCCGAAACATCGTAATGGGAGTAACCTTAGCAATGAGCTTAATGTCCTTCCCACTGGAAAGTTGTAAAACACATTGTTTTTAAACACCACTGCGAAAACAACAACAACAACAGATTAACTCTGGAGAAGATTCCTGAGCTGGTTGTGCCAGGGAGAGAGAAATGAGAGACAAAAATAGAACACAGGACTGCTTGACCTATTAGGTGTCACCCAATGGTAATTTATTATTGTAAGCAAGATCTCTATCAGAATGTTAACATTTGCTGTGGGTTCTGCTTTTATCTGTCTATGGAATAAAGAGGCTACTCTGAGATTGTAGAATAAGACGGACTTGGTGACCTTTTCATGTGCCTCAGTTTGATTGCCCTAGCTACGACCAGTGGGAAAATTTATCCCGCTTCAATAGAGCCCATTAAACTACATCTTGCAAAACCTTTACCTGGTTATTTACGTAATTAATTTTTTTGCAACCCCATTCCTCTCCTCTGTTACAGTCAGCAACAAACTCAGAGGCATAAAAACCCCAAACTTATTAAGAAATTTCTCTGATGCTGAGATGCGTGCTGTTTGGTGGCCGAGTCATAATAAAAGTATACTGCATGTGACCTAACCATTGGTTATGTGTATGCAATGACCTCACTCCCACATTGCACAAATGATAGTATGAGCAGGAGTGAAGGCTTTAGCAGAGCAGCACAGCCACTTAAGCAGTTCAGCACTCACTTTAAGAGAAAAAGCTTTCTAATTTCCCCACCCATGTGAATAGAAAAAGACTGCTCTGTCAGTGTTTTTTCCTAATGTATCTCAATCCTGGAGTTTCTGAGAATTATGTAGCATCTGATCTCTGACAGACTTGCTTGCTGTTTACACTGAGAGGTGGTGTGTGTGTGTTGATGTATAAAGAGCTACTAGCCTATGGCTTGAATGGGAGAAACTGGTGCATAATATAGAAGGTTTGTGCCAATATAATAAGCTTGGATGTAAAGAAAACCCAGAGGAACGTGCAAGATAAAGTGGGGACTGCACAAATGTTTCAGGGTACAAATCATATGGAAACTTGCCAGGATATACTCTAAATGTGTGCACAAGCCATCAAAATGTTGGGAGGCAGTACTGTATGGAAAACTAAATGGTCTAAAATTTTGGAATTTGGGCAACATAATAAGACTTAAAGAGGACCCAAGTGGAAAATCATTATGAAAAACCATATACAGGTGGATAGATCCAATGAGAAAATGACATGTGCTTTCTGGTTAGATGAAACATGTGGGAACTGGGGCATATGGTATTCACGAGACATTAGATACTGTCTGTGCTAGATGATTCAGCACTTTTTTCCCCTTTGGCTCAGCTCCAGCATAGGCTACAATGGCTTCCGAAGCCAATAGTCTTGATGCTTGCTTGGAAAATAAAACAGAGTCTTTTGATGCTTGCTTTGACAATATGATAGGGCTGCCATACATCCAGGTCTCAAAGGCGTAAATGACGTCCGGGGGAAATTTCCGAAATGTGGTGCTTAGTCCTGTATCTTAGGCAAGTCAATCTTTGTAAAAAATAAACAAATAAATAGCTCCAGAACTTTGGGGTTTCCTAAAAAGAATCTCAACCATTTTCGGGGTGTCCTGGTTTTTACTTTTTGAAATATGGCAACCCTGGGACGCGGGTGGCGCTGTGGGTTAAACCACAGAGCCTAGGACTTGCCGATCAGAAGGTCGGTGGTTTGAATCCCTGCGACAGGGTGAGCTCCCGTTGCTCGGTCCCTGCTCCTGCCAACCTAGCAGTTCGAAAGCACGTCAAAGTGCAAGTAGATAAATAGGTACCGCTCCAGCGGGAAGGTAAAGGGCGTTTCCGTGCACTGCTCTGGTTCGCCAGAAGTGGTTTAGTCATGCTGGCCACATGACCCGGAAGCTGTACGCTGGCTCCCTCGGCCAATAAAGCGAGATGAGCGCCGCAACCCCAGAGTCGGTCACGACTGGACCTAATGGTCAGGGGTCCCTTTACCTTTTTACAATATGATGAGGGTCAAGGTGGCATATACAGAGTAGACAAAAGGAAAGGTGTTAGTGGCTCTTTCTAATTCATAAAGCTTTTCATACAGTGTTGCAAGCCCGCTCTGAAAGGTTCCCTCAGCCCTCCGTGAGCTCTGTGTACTCATGGTTTATCTTATCTGGAACATACTTGCACAAAAATGCAAGGGTTTGGCAGGGCTTAGGCTCTGCAGTACGCACTGGAACAAGCCTGGCCCAATACCTGTTAGAACGAGGATTAACATTATCTGAATATTAAACCTGGCCCCATTTAGAAATGTATGAATAAAACACAAGAAAAAAATGACACATTATCAAAAGTGTTTTATGTTAAGAAAGAAAAATGCTTCACCATGGCCCAGCCTAATTTGCCTTCTTAAAGCACAATTCTAATCAGGCTTACACAAAAGTCAGTTTGACCAAGTTCAATGAGAGTATTGCTAGACTGGAGTTTACAGGTCAAGCCTACAACTCTTGACAGCGCCCACACCATGTCATCTTTATCAAAATGCCAGTCCATACTCTTTATTTCCTTCTTTCCTTTCAGTTTAATCCAGATTTCCCTGTAGATGGAAAATCCATTAAGTAAAAATAAGTTTTATACATCTCTAGTCACTGTTAGTGTAGAGGTCATTAGTACAATATTGTGGGGTGTGGGCAACAACAACAACCACAACAAATGAAAGTGGATGCTCAGACCCTCCAAGTGCCTCTATTTTCCAGGGACAGTCCTGGATTTACAGTAGCTGTCCCAGTTTCTGATTTGATCCCGGAATGTCCCACTTTGCCTTAGGATGTCCCTATTTTCATTGGAGAAATTTTGGAAGGGATGGATGCTGCTCCCCTCCCCTTCAAAGCACAAATCTCCATTTTGCCAATTGTGAAGCAAGATTGATAACTAAGGGCTGGTAACATTTGCTTTTGCACTCTTCTGATGTCTTTCTCTGTTTGTCTTTATTTATTTAATGTGCTTGCACAAGTACACAAATACCTGTGTGCATGACCAGAATGGGCAAGTGTATTGAGGAGGGGCAAAATACACAGCATGGATACGTTCCTTCAAGCACCACCTACTGTGTGGGCAGTAAGTGATGAACAGCAATGAATATCCACAACTGGGGGGGAAAGAATGTGTGGAAGTTAACATGCCAGTCATTCACACACTAAAAATGCATCTGAGGATGCATTTGTAACACAAAGCCCTGCCTGGAGGTACCCTTGCCCTATGGTACATGTGCTTAGGATCACTGCCTTAGTAAAAGAATCATTCAGCACAGTATATTATTTTATGTTTAATAACACTTTGTTATAAACGTCTTTTTTCCATGGTGTAAATATTCCACAATCTGGCATGGTTTTCCTTCCTGATTAATTATGCTATTTCCCCCTCCAAAAGTCTGTTGAGAAATTTACTCTTTTATATTCCTTAATTCTTTGCACAAGTTCAAGGAATCATAGAAAATTAAAGTTGAAAGGGACCCTGGGGCCATCCAGTCTAACCCCCTGCAATACAGGAATCTTTTGTCCAATGTGGGGCTCATACCCACAACCCTGAAATTAAGAGTCTCATGCTGTACCCACTGAACTATCCCGGTGGAGATTCAACATATTATTTTCAACAGTCTGCATGCTGTGGAAAAAACACACAGAAAATACAGATATAAACAGATGGTTGCTAGCTGTAAATGTAATTCTAGTCATTTGAACTAAGTTATATTAAAGAAGAGTTTGGATTTAAGAGGCATACTCCTGGATGGATGAACTGGTAACAAGCACTTGCCATTTAAAAGCCCCACACAGACATGCCAGTTTTAAGTAATACTTCTGAGAGAGACCAGCTACTCCAGCAGAGGATTTCTAGGAGCAGAAATCAGGAAATGGTTAAGTAAAAGCAGGTGGAGCACTTTGAGAGCAAAGCAGGAAATAGCAGTGTGTCTGAATGCATTCAAAAGAATGTCTCTCCCCCTCAGCCTTTGGGCAGCTGCAGTGACTAGCTATCCACCCACGCCGCCTCCTCCTCCGCTGCCCTTATCTCTATCGGCCCCTGAAGACACACAGTCTTGAAGGCCACAAACACCATTGGCCTGAGTAATCCTCTGCAATTCTGAGCCAGGCCCTGGGAGCATTAGGAGGAAGCTGCCTGGAAGGCAGAAGAAACAAGAGACCCACCCAGTGCATTAAGGGCTGAATGAGCAAGAAAACACCCTGTAAGTGCCAGAAGCTGTTTCCTGAAAGAAGCTGCCTAAAGCCGAATACTCCCGAAAAACAAAACAAAATGAATACTCGGGAAAATTATAACACATTTGGAACAGGCTACTTTCAGTCTTACAGGGCTTTAAATGTAAGGAATCACTTTCTTCTAAAAACAACGCTCTCTGAGATGGAACCCAGGAACTGTTAGTTTCCCCCGTTTGGAATATGTTTTCTTTCTAATAACAGTTTAGAATGACGAATATTCATAGTGCAGTTGTACCTCAGTTCCCGAATGCCTTGGGAGTCAAATGTTACAGCAACTCAACAATTGAAAACTGGAAGTGAGTGTTCTGGTTTTCAAACATTCTTTTGGAAGCTGAACGTCTGACGAGGCTTCTGCGGCTTCCAATTGGCTGCAGGAGCTTCCTGCAGCCAATCAGAAGCCATGCTTTGGAAGTCGAACGTTTTGGAAGTTGAACGGACTTCGGAACAGATTCTGTTCGACTTCCGAGGTACAACTGTAACGGATAACTGTTACATCCATCAGATGACAGAGCAGCAATTGCAACAGCAGAAGCTCCCAAGTTCTAAATATCTTGCTTTCCCACCTCAATCCAGCTGTATTCATTGTAAAGGCAAGATGGCTGTGTCCCATTAGTATGAAATTCAATATGGGGAACCTACCTTGTGAGAAATTTATCTAACTTTCAGAGAAAGCCAATTAAACATGGTTGAATTAGTGTAGAATTTTTGCTTCAAACTTCAGACATTCCACTGACTTTCTGCCCCCGAACACCAGTGTTCATTTCTCTCTTTGCCAGCTAAGCTAATGCTTTTTAAAATGAAAAGAAAAGGGATATTGCACGGGTGAGCCTTCCACCCTCACTGCTTGGAGGGAGGTTAACTTTATATTCCCAAGCTTTCGGGGTTTTAAAGCCCCCAGTTTAATCTGTCATTGTACTTGTCAAGGCAGGAGGCTACCAGGGCACGGATCCCTGTGAGAAAGCCATGCGGGTCCAAGAATGGCTACAGCTGGCAAGCTAGGTGTAACTGGAAAAGTGGGACTTTGCTTACTGTGAACTTATGTTCCCAGTGACACATGGAGGGTAGTCCTGTCATTCTCAGGCTTGCTCAACGGGCAAGATCAAGTGTCTTCAAACTGGTCCTCATCTGGGGAACGAGCCTATGTCTACCCAAGATGCCACCCATTTGGGCGATGCCACCCAAGTGCATGAGCCTTCTAAGGAGTTGCTTTATCAATTGCCAGGATCCAACCCTTCCTCATCTGAGGTTTGACAAGAGAATACAAAGAGAATACAAAGATGGACCTTGGCTTCTTTAAGAATTTCATTATTTCCTAAGGAGGATGGGAGCTTGCATCATTCTATATGGCACCGTCATGCTCTAGAAGTTGTTGGAACAAGTTATCTGCCAGGGAGATTTCACTACCCACGGAATTCTGCTTTCTATGGCCCAGGTCCAGTGCCCCTTGCTTGATGTTACATGATGCTGTGCTTCACACTGCAGACTTCTTGGCAAGGACTGGTGTGTCTGGGTGCGTGCATGCATGCACACGTCATCTGATTACTTTATTGGTAGTGGTGATCGATTGCAGCCCAAGGACTACATGTAACTTTTATATGCCATGTGATACGTGTAGTCAATTTTTCCTGTCTGGAAAATAGCTGTTGTGTAATTTCTGTTCCGCTTTTCCAGCCATTGAGTGCACCCATTAACTGCTCTCACATAGCCAGGGGCCAGGGGTATCATGCACCCATCTCAGTTCTACTCCAAAATTATGCCACTGTGGCCATGCTCAATAATCATGCAGCTTTCCTAGCAGGCTGCATTCTGTGGCTCATCTGTTTCTCCTCCCAGCAACAAGAGGTATCTGTGGTCTCCCAGATGTTGCTGGACCACAACTCCCACCATCCCTGGCAATTGGCCATGCTAGCTGTGACTTATGAAAACTGGAGTTAAAGAACATTTAGAGGGCCACAGGCTCCCTATCCCTGCTCTGCACCTGGAAATGGACACCTTGCCCCAGGGGAGAACTTTGGTAATTTGGGGTAATATGGTGTCCTGAGTGAGGCCAAAATTTGGCACCCTCAAATGGGTCTTCTCAATTATGGATCTCCTTCATTTTGTGCCTCCTCGGCTCAGCACCCTGTGCTGGGGAACTGCCCGTACCCCTCTAAATCTGACACTGCTCATTCACTTCTGTTCAATGTCTTCACTCTCTGGGTAGATTAAAGGTAAAGGTAAAGGGATGCCTGACAGTTAAGTCCAGTTGCGAACGACTCTGGGGTTGTGATGCTCATCTCACTTTACTGGCTGAGGGAGCCGACGTTTGTCCACAGACACTTTTTCCGGGTCATGTGGCCAGCATGGTTAAGCTGCTTTTGGCGAAACCAGAGCAGCGCATGGAAACACCCTTTACCTTCCCGCCGGAGCAGTACCTATTTATCTACTTGCACTTTTTGGCATGCTTTCGAACTGCTAGGTTGGCAGGAGCTGGGACCGAGCAACGGGATCTCACCCCGTTGCGGGGATTCAAACCACCAACCTTCTGATCGGCAAGCCCTAGGCTCTGTGGTTTAGACCACAGCGCCACTCGCACCCCCTGGGTAGTTTAGGAAGGGTCTTTATGGTGTCTGCGCCTGATATAAGGAACTGCGAGTCTCACTGCTGTAACCCTTGAATAATGTGTGGTCCTCTTCTCTTGGGTCGGGATAACTATCTAATCTCAGTTTCTTCTTTCTCCCTCTTTTCCAGGGCCCACAACTATGATTGAGGTCAACACTCCCTCACTGTCCCAGTAAGTACCACAGATCCCCCTGAGGTTCTTGTAGAAGAATCATGACTTAAAATTTGAGAACAAAAGCTATCTTGCAATTGCATGGAAAATGAGTTCAGCAAAAGGTAGCAGACCAAAAAACCCCCAAAACTTCTTGCTTGCATAAAATCCCGGATTGTGCTTCTGCATTGGGGCAGTTCACTTTGTGTCCATTCTGACTTAAAAGAGGCTTTCAATAGACTTTTGAATGCAAGGACTAAGGGAGGGTGAGAAATTAGAAAACTTTCCCTTAAATCTTTGCCCTCTTCAGAGCAAGCACAGACATGGAGAGAATGGCAGATATGCATGAGAAGCTCAGTACCTCTGACCTTGTGACCTTTGAGTCCTGTATTCCAGGAAATGTATTCTTCCTTTGCCTTGCCTTCTTTTTTTTTTAATGTTTGTATTTACTAGGCCCCTCCTGGGATCCCCTGGTCTTCTCTTTGCTGATGATCCTGTCTTGTGGCTTTAAGGGAACACAGCTATTTGTGGATCAGCATTCAGACAACATGGTTAAACATTGCAACAAAACGGTTAATTAAATGTTTATGAAGTCTCCCACAGTTCTTCCAGGGGAAAAGCAAGCAAACAACATTGTGTAATTCAGACCCATTCATCCACTTGCCTGAAGCTCCGTGACACAGTGAAAGATTATCTTGCATTAATCCTGGTTAAATTAACTCAGTCATTCTTCACCCACTACAAGGCAAAGGACTTCATCAGAATCCTGCCTATCCAAACATTTGTTTTGCCTATTTCAGAATTATTCTTTTTTTTTTAAAGAAAAACAAACCTGCTAAGTGAATTTTTTTATGAAACTGCATTTGCTTGAGAAACAAGTAGCTTTTCGGACTATATGCTTTCAGGTATGTCAAAATGGAATTGTTCTGCCATGTTGCACATATTAATTTTTTGTTGCACAGTTGATAGTGGAAAAACAGTTTTTCTGGGATTTTGAAGAATTTCAGGAGGTACCTGTTAAAATTCAAATAAAAACTTCAGAAGTGCAACTCGTGCAGAATTGACTGAGAATGGGTCAGGATTTTCTAATATATTTTGGAACATGGCTTCTTCTTCTTCTTTAGCCTGCTCATTTTACCAGAAATGAGATTTCTACACCCAGAAAAATGAGAGTATGTGAATCAATACACTTGTACTGATTTTTATTTTAGTTATTACACTGCTGTAGACTCAAGTCCTGTTGCTGATCTGCAGTTATTGCTCACCTTCCAGCATTGAAACATTGATTATAATCACTTTAATGAGTAGATTGGCATGCTGATAATTTTCACAGTTGCTTCTGTATCCTATATTGTAGTGTCCTTATGTAATATAAATATTGCTTGGCAAGGCTTATCCTTTATTTGCATCCAAAGGTATTAGAATGCTAGGAGGAATCATTATTAATTTCTTTCCACTGCAGTCTCAGCAATATTGCAAAGCTGTGGTTTGCACCACCCATTTTCAGCCTGGTTTGCATGGTGTGCAAGCCAAACTATGGTATACCAAGACCACAAGGATGTGCAGGCTCCTGGAGACGAGCCTGCAGTACTTGCTCCTCTAAAGTTCTTTTTACTCTGAACTGTGGAGCATGTTGATTTTCCACAGAGCTGAAACACTGTCTTTTATATGGTTAAATAAACAGAATATTCTGAACTGCATGAAAGGAAGGCCAAACTAGACATGAAGTGGGAGATCCCTGTTTGGATCTTCTAATGCCTTTCGTTTTGCTACTGTGTGTTTGTTAAATTGGGGTTCTTGTATTGAGAGAAAGGGGTTAACCCTTCCCATCATTCTGTTTCCCCAGATAAATTTCCCCCAAGTTTCCTCAAGTTGCTATTGGGCACAGGATAGAAAAAGGTATCTGTATTTATTATTGATTTATAAAAATATTTATATATCACTATTCATTAAAAAATCAAAGTGGTTTACAACCACACATATATGCAATGAAAACCATGCACATATTTAAAATCAAATATCAACTATTACAGAAATCTGAATTATTAATTGCTTGCACAAGCCTGGCAGCATACAAAAGTTTTCAGCAGACATTTAAAGATTAAAACAAGAATCTCTATTGGCTGAGCATTCCAGAGGACTGGGTCAAGGACAGCAAAAGCTCAGTTTCTTGTTGCCATCAGATGACCCTTGCCAACTCGGAACAACCAACAACACAGCCTTATATACAGTGCCCTGCAGTAATCCATCATTGATCAGGTAGTATCCAGTCAGGCCCCATGAACTGGAATTAATCCCACAACACTGGGTTTGATGTTGGGTTGGACATGTCAGCAGACTCTGCCACAATACCAGTCTCTAAACCATTGTGGGGCCAAGCAACATTGTCTTCCAAGTGTTTAGCCAGCTAGGGAGACACTGTGTGCTCCAGAGGTCTGGCCTCCTCTGAACTACATGGAACAACTCTGCTGGGCAGTTCCTTGATGATGCTGTTAGGTTGGGTAACTCCAGGATAAACTGAAATTGTCAGAAGGGACAGACTCGCATTCTGTCCTTTAACACTATTTCCAAACAGAATGCTGCTGTGACTCCAACATTGCAATGCAACGGAGGCGGCAAAGTAGGATCTCTTTGCTGTTCCCTCAGCCATGTGGCAGGCCCAATTATAAGCTTGAGCACATGTTTGGTTGGTTCTAGAGGGAGATTGATGCCACTTACACTCCAGCCCTCATCCAGTCTGTTTCATCGACCATGACAGAGCAAAGTGAGCTTTACGGTGTTTGAATGAGTCCATAGGAGTGAGACTAGGGCTTCAGTAGGATCACCTGCTCTATCCACCGGAAAGCCTGTCAGAGCAGTCAGGAATCTATCAGTCTCTTGGGATTGGGCCATCCTAACTGGTCCCCCACCTGGGAAGAGAGATTGACTTTGGAGGAACAGCACAGAGGAAAGAGTTAACACCCCCTCAATTGCCGCAGCCTCAGTCAACTCCCTCCCCTGCCGCTGCTTTTAGGCTAGGAAAAATACTTCCACATCACATTCAGTTTAACCAGAAACAAACACTCCAACAGTTCCTCCTTTCACTTCCAGTTCCTGGGAAATCACTGCTCTATTTTGTCCTTTAGTGAAATTTGCAGGCAGGCGGAGATTTTTTTTTTAATGCTACTGTACTCATATATCCCCCTCAAATCTGCCTATATGGGCAGCAGACATTGCTGAATGTGTTTCAGTTGCAACTTTTATATAATTAATACAACCAACCCATTGTGAGAATAAACACATTTTTAAAAAGGAAACTGTTATATTAAACTAACACAACTATTCCAGAAGCTAGTGTGGGGCAGGATATTGCCAAATGCATGACTATAGCACAATAAAGGCAGAGCTTTATACTAGAGGGATGCAAGATTGACTCTGTTTTCATGGGGGAAATGGGTGGGTTGTTTATGCAAGAGAAGCAGTCTGTTGGATGGCCATCTGTCATAATGATGTAGTTGAGATTCCTGCATTGCATGGGGTTGGACTAGATCTGGGTTCGGCAAACTACAGCCCCCAGGCCGAATCAGGCTCGCCAGGGTTCTAAATCCAGCCCGCCGGGCCATTTAAGAACCTGCCATGAAGCCGAGACTCCAGGCAACGGCGATGGAAGGAAGAGGCCGAGTGGTGGCGTCTCTGCCAATCAAACGCTGCACCTGGTTTATCTCAGCATGGTGCGGGAACGTCTCTGCCAATCAAACGTCGTGCCGCGCTGAGGTAAACCAGGCACAGCATTTGATTGGCAGAGACGCCGCCACTCGGCCTCTTCCTCCTGCTGCTGCTCCTGTGGCTGCTGCTGCTCTGCATCCCCGTGAGGGGCAGCAGTGGCGTTCCTGGAGGACAGCCGGTCTGGGCTAGGGCTTGGGGCCACTGTGGGGCTCCCACTGGTGGTAGAGGACAATGAGGCCAGCGGCGAAGTGGCCCAGGCGGCGGCCTTCACCTCCGGGGAGCAGGAGGACGGAGGGGTGGAAACGCCTGCATGGGGTGGCAGCTGCAGTGAGGCACCAGCTTGTCCTTGTCTCCATCTCCGTGTTCTTTGAAGAGGTGCACTGGGCAGTGCGCGCCACACTCGGCCAGCTCCTGCAGGCTCCCTGCTTCCGAGGTGCCCAGCTCCAGCGAGCGTGCCAGCCCACTCTCCAAAACTTCCTGTCCAGCCCCCAACAGTGTCTGAGGGACAGTGAACCGGCCCCGTTTTAAAAGGATGAGGTCCCCTGGATTAGATGGTCCTTGGGGTCCTTTCCAACTCTACAATTCTGTGATTCTAAGTAACTAGGTCAGCATAAGGAGTGAGCTACAGAGATCAGTTTGTTTTTAATCTGATTTCTCTTTTTTATTATTAATAAAAATTCATATAATTTGGCTGTTGGATGCTGAAGTGTAGTTTTGAAAACACTACGGTTCGGATAATATCCCACATACCTGGCCACTGGGCATATGCCACTGGGCAAAAAAGGAGGTTTCATCGAGAAAAGAGCAGGCTGCGTGGAATCCTAGGGTGGGAGAGGCAGCTGGATGCCAGCCCTGTTGTCCTGAGTAAACTGAGAGGAATCTGGCTAGGAAACACAGAGTGCATTGTCTTGGGAGCCTGGGTTTTAGTATTTTACAGTTCTGTCTCATCTGTGAGCTATAAGTGTGAAAGGGAGTGGTTGTGGCAGTGAGTAGCTGGCCGGAGGCAGCTGGCCAACCCTACAGGGCAGTTTTGCAGCAGTTGCAGAAGGAAGGGCATAAGTAGGCTCTCCTAGCCTTTCCCCTTCCATTATAGAACAAAGGCTTGTTCTTGGTCTACAGCTTGAACCTGGCTTTGGACTTCCTGCTGATCAAGCCAAACCATGGCTCAGCACTGAGCAGCAGGAGAACCTGGAGAGGAAGGCAGCAGCTGCAATCTCCTCTCCTGCAACCCGCACATTACGTGCAGTCTGGGTCTATTATATTTTGCTTGGGAGGGATGAGAAAGTTTTGAATTTTTGTATCTTATTAAGTTTTTTTGTTTCAGGGAAGGTTGATTACACTGACAGAGGAATAAGAATGTATTTCTATGCTGATAGTTCCACCCTTGGGAACTTGAGCTCTTAAATCATCTGCTTAAATATGCATGTGTGCATTTCTCTTATGTTTTTACCACATGCAAAGGTTGGAAAAATAATCTGTGTCTTAAATAAGAGGGGGGGAATGGAACAAAAACAAACAGCAAGCAAAAGAGAAAAAAGAGAGGACATGCACACAGTGAGAAGAATGTCAAGAGTTAATCCCTGGTGTAATACACTGGAGGGTAAATTCATGTTGTCAGAGGAACAGTTCATGCAAGATTTATGTGCCCCCCCACCCTCTGGTGAACTTTAAGGTAAACCTCAGCCGGCGACTGCTGCATTCCTCATAAACCCCTAGCACAGCCCGCTGCTGCTTTTCCAAACTGCTTTCTCATTATTCAATAGCACATTTTTCCACAGCATTCTGCTCTTGTTAATACTTGCTTGCTGCAATTTTTTTTTTAGTTCTGCAGTAAAAACACCTGTGTTTTATTAAGACTCAAAAATTGTGTTCCGCCTCCTTATTTTGACTGCAGTGGCATTAACCCTTTCAGAAGTATGCTTTTGAGGGCTGCTGCTGAATCTAAAAAGAAAGGCGCTTTAAAGAAGAATGTGCCATCAGAGAAACTGACACAGGAAAGCATGGTTTTGTGTGGGGCTGGGGTAACTAAGGCCTTGGGTAATGCTTGCTGCTATATCACAAAGTGAAGCTTGGGTGAAGGAAGGAACCCGAAGGTGTGATCTTGCAACAGAAGGAAAGGCAGAGATGGGGCTAGCAAACTGCAAGTTGACTACGGCCTGGTTTGCACATCATGGCAAGTCAAAATATGGCTTACAACAGGTGTGCAGAACCTTTGGCCCTCCAGAGGTTGCTGAACTACAATTTCCATCATTCTTGGCCATGGGCTATTCTGGCTGGAGCTGATGGGAGTTGTAGTTCAGCAACATTTGCAGGGTCAAAGATTCCTCGCTCCCTGCTTACCAGGCCTACTCAAATGTGTGGGTTCCCATAGAGGCCCCTATAGCTGATTTGTTTATTTGTCTCTTTTTTTACTGGGACTCATGTTTAAACTCTCAGCTCTCTGGGAGCCTGCATGCTTGTGTAGTCCCAGTAAACCACCATTTGGCTTACTGTGACATGAGAACCGGCTCAATGAAAGGAAATCTGTGGTGAGTGGGACAGGTGAGAAAGGAGGGCAAGGCCTCAGAGGCTGTGGAGTCATTGCGACATTTTAGTAAAAGTGAGCTCTGAGAGAAAGAATGCAAAAGTGCTTAAGGCTGATGACCTAATCTTTGCCTTCTTAGTACAAAGAGTCAGATGGGTGCAAGACAGAAAGACGTGATCCTTGTGCTGTCAGATCTGTTCAAATCAAACAACCGCATGCGCCCAGAATCAGGTACATAGTGCTGCTCCACCCATTTGGGTCACAGAAGGGGAAAATTGCAAAAGCAGCACCGGCTACATCAGCAGCACCACTCAAGGTACAACATTTCTCATAAAAGTCACAACGAACCTTTTCTGTTTTCAGGGAAATACGCCTCCTGTAGCAGCAAACAGAAGCAGGAGAAAGTCTTGTGCAGATGCATCCTTAGTGCTGGAGTGCAGGAATTTTGGCAAAATGAATTCTTCTTGAGATAGGACTCAAGGCATGAAGGAGCCACTACAAGAATCGAAAACCTCTCACCTCCAGTTCCTTAACAGCTTAATGGATGTAGGTAACAGAAAGTTTTAAAAGGTAATAAAAACCTTGGTGGCTTAAATGTTTTGTTAATTCTGTTCTGAGTTGTATCAGAATTACAGGGTAGTATTGGCACCTAGTTTTTGGCAGTTGTTCCTCTCTCCACCTTTATAACTATTGTCTTCAGGCTACGAAGCACATATTATGGCGTTCATGATAGTCACCTCTTACTAGTTTCTATGCAACATTCTTTTACTCATATCTATAGGTGTTCTACAAAAAAAGAAATTTACCTTGTAAAAAAGAAAGTTGTGCCAAAGGGCTCATATTCCAAAACTGCAAAAAGGGGATGAACAAAAATGAGCAAAATCAGCTTTGATGGGATTTACCAGCAGAGTATATAGTAGCATAACTCAGAGAGGTTTCAGCTCAAGGGACATGGAACTCATCTGTTAGAACCATTTATACATGTATGTGTCTGAAGACTAAAATCACAGTGTTCAATACATGTAAACAATGTTCAAAACTACTTCAGTGTGACTGTGTATAAACCTGACTTGCACTTACAGAACTTCACTCATTGTCAAAGCTGTAATTTGCATTTGCTTGTATACTGTGGTTTGGAACCATTATATGTCAGACTTGAAGAATATGCGCAAATTAAGGTAATCACATGCTATCACCACTAATTTACATACAAATGTAAACATCCAAACTCATGAAATATGTTGGGCCCTGTTATTATGGAGAGTAAACAGCAATGACTCGCCTGTTATTTACACAGCCACCCAAACAGGGCATTTTCTTCCACTGTCACCCAGCTGGGCAACACAGCAAGGGGTATAGAAGTCAGTGTCTAACCTATGTTCCGAAATGGGCTCATAATCATGCTTCATAGGTGGCCTGGCCACCTGGATTATGACTCGACAGTAATAGGGGGTTTGCCATTGCTGATGTTGTGGTTGTTGAGCCATGTGGCATTCTTTTTTCCTTTTTTAAAAAAATGCGGGGGGGGGGGAATGGAGCAACTTAGGCGTTCTTTTCTCAGAGCTATGAACATTTTACTTCCCACTCCTGGAATGACTCTAGCCACAAATGATTCTTTCCTCCTCAAAGAACTAGCTATGAAAGGGGAAAGCTTGTTGTATTACAGGTGGCGACCATTTTGCATGCGTCCAATTGACACGACTGCCGACATGCAAGTCCTTTTGGATCCAGAAGAGGGCAGAATGGGGGACATAACAGGGCAGAGCGGGCTTATGCGTACTCTGCCAAAGCGTGTGGGGGCCATGAGTGGAACCCCCATGCAAAATGGTTGCTACCTGTACTCCATTTTATTTTGTTGTATGTAATCACTTTTATGGCAGATTTGCAAGAAGTGTCAAGTGCTGTAAAGCATATTGTACTGACCTTGAGGATAAAATCATCAAGCTGCTATGGAAGGTAATCTGAAGTACAAATCTGAGTGAGCAGCACTCATTTAATTTCACCGTTGCCCCATATTGTCTCAGCACTATCTCTGTCATTACACTTGTTTAATATAGCCAGGATTAGCTTCTGATGAAAATGCCACACAATCAGGGCTGTAGCTGGGGGTGGCGAGTATGAACTAACATAAAAAATAGACTTTGAAGAAATTATTACTGAATTATATTCAATTAAAGGGAGAAATATAAAGTTATAATCACATCAGACTTCATTAAGGAGATTGCTACTTAAAGCCAGAGTTGGCCTAACTTGACTTTTATATATTTTTTTCAAATAACAACTCTTGTGAATAAGAAGTTGTAACTTGTGACTTGCAAATCATAATAGTCTTCTTACTTTATATTAACCAAATAAACATAGATATTGCAAAAGTAATGCCATTTTACATCATATAGTATTATAATGTAAAGTTATTATTGTGGAACAATTCAGTATGATATTGTTTGTACATTTCATTTAGGCCTATCTGTGTATTGTTTTTACAACTGAATTACATTAAAAAAAACCCTGTCAACTCACATCAAAATGTCATTTTCTTTGCTGAAACCTTTTATTAAGAAATAATAAATTAAATATTGGATTTTCTGTGAAAGAATTCATTACAAGATGAACTGCATGAGGAATTGAATGGGTGGGTGGGGGTGGGTTTGAGGAGAGGCAGAAAGAAGAGCTAATCTGTCCGTGGCTAGGGGGCGCAATCTGGATGGTTCTGCCGGGGCGCAAGATCACCTGGCTACAGCTCTGCACACAATAGCAAAAAAATAATTTCTAGGTGATGGGGTACAATGATATAAATTAGCTAGTTACAGTGAAGGGGAAGGTAAAGACAAATGCCCAAGAGGAGGAACAATATGATCTTGTCGAGACAAGGCCAATCCTTCAAAAGCTTGTTCCTCTTGCAAAAATACCAGGAAGTAGAGTGCAAACAGGGATAGAGTACCAGATGAGGTATGGACTGTTCATGCAGAAATCAACAGCAAATGACACAAACCAAAACCCCACCACTCAAAACCCCCCACTACTCTGCTTATTTGTATGCACTCTAAAGTATGCAGCTCAGCAACCACAGCAATGGCACATAATTCTTGCAAGCAAAAGTTCCCATGCCTACCAGGTATAAGGAATGAAGCAGTCATTACATTAAAAAAAATGTTAGTAGGTTAGGAAATAAGCATAATCACCTATAATTTAGACATGCCTAAAACAGGACACACAAAAAGTCACAAAACTGCAGTTTAAGAGAGCCACTAATTTGTGTCATAATGCACAGCACTTAGTGGAGAAGAAAGAGGCATTCACTTACATTGGCTACTATGCTATGGAGCATGATGGTTATATACGTATTGATGTGTGAGAGTAGCTTAATGAGCACAATTCTATTGCTTGTTAACTTTGAAGTAGGTCCCACTGTATTCAATGGGACTTATTTCTTAGTAACTACCGTATTTTTCACCCCATAGGACGCACCGGCCCATAGGACACACCTAGTTTTTTTGTGGGGGAAATAAAGAAAAAAAAATTATTCCCCCCCCAGGTGTGGGGCTGGGGCAGGGGAAGCCCGAGCTTCCCCTGACCCCAGCCCCCAGAACAGGCTGCTATCCGCTAGCCATGGGAGAGCCGCGTGACTTCGCGCAGCTCTCCCACGGCTAGCGGAGCCCGAAGCTTGGGGCGTGCTGAGCTCAGCGCGCCCCAAGCTTCTGGGTGCAGGCAAGCTCTCCGCTAGCCGTGGGAGAGCTGCGTCTCCCACGGCTAGCTTCCTGAAGCCTGGAGAGTGAGCGGGGTCGGTGTGCACCGACCCCCCTCGCTCTCCAGGCTTCAGCGAAAGCCTGCATTCGCCCCATAGGACGCACACACATTTCCCCTTCATTTTTGGAGGGGAAAGAGTGCGTCCTATAGGGGAAAAAATACGGTAGTGTTTAGAACAGCAGCTTTAGTTTGTGCTACTGGTCTAGACTAAGCTTACCAGAATCCAGGGACACTTTTTTCTTTTTGAAAAGAGAGAAAAAAAGTTTATATACATATATATATATATATATATATATATATATATATATATGTCATATCTCTTCTATGGTCTCCTCTATCGTGTGGCCTTCCTCTGGGCCCCGGCCTGCTCTCTTGGAGCGCTAGCAGCCATGAAGTAGGCTCAGGTTGGGCCTGGGGTCGGCCATGTGTCCTTGCCCTCCCAGTGCTCTCCTAACTCTCCGCAGTGGCGGCAACAGCAGTGGCGTGGCAAAACCAGGGCTCCCCTCTTTCTTCTCCTTCCTCTTTCTCTCTTTTCCTTCTTCTCCTTCTCTCCTCCTTCTCCCTGCGTCGGCTCTGGAGTTTTCCTGGCCCCAGAGCACCGCTGGGCAGTCGGCCAGGCACTCTCGCTCCCGGCTTGATTTGGGTCATGGGGGTGTCAGCAGTTCCCCCAGTTATCGCGTTGGGCATCCCTGGTTCCCCCTCCCCAGTGGTGGTGGCAGCAGCAGTCTCAGCAGCCTGGAGCCAGCCTGGTAGTGCAGTTAGCTCTGGCTGGCTTCAGGAGCTGCTCAATTCTGTGGCGCCCGGCATTTTGCCTCACCGGAAGTCCCCATATGATGTGTCTTGTGCCGTTGAACCAATCACGCAACATTCATTCCCTACTAATAAACCTATAACACTTAAAATATAAATCTGGGGACATTAAATGAAATCCGGGGACATTCCGGGGATGGATTTTGTCCGGGGACAGATTTGTAAATCCAGAATCTGTCCCCGGGAAACATTGATGTCTGGTAACCATAGTCTAGACCCCACTCTTCACATGCTCAGTTGCTACCTCAAATGGTCCCCGAGTCATGGTTCATCCATATGAACCTTTTGCCCCGCACTTTCTAGGCACAGGTCCATGCTTTCCTAGTCCTAGTGCTTCCCCCCTGCCCATTGCTTTCCCCAGGGAAACCCGATTTTATTGTTGAATCAGAGCAAGCAGCAATTTGGGTGTTCCGCAGATTGTTGTTTGCTTCAATTCAGCGGCAAACAGTACCGCCGGGGGTGGGGGACAACGCTGACAGGCACAGACCTGGAAAGCCTGGTCCTGTGCCCAGAAATGCAGAACAAATATAAGTATGGATGGGCCCTCAGGGGAGAACTACGGACACTGTTTAGGTAGAGTTGATGCTCCTGAAAACCAGCTGAGAACTGGGATTGTGAGTGTGTCAACATGTTAAGAGACTTTGGCTGTCTACACACCCTCAAAACACATTCAAAGCACATTCTTTTCCTCAAAGAGTTCTGGGTATTGCCTGTGTCCACAGCACCTGGTTTGGGACTCAGACTAAGTAGGAGTGAGATGAAAACCCCATTTCTTATGGTTGACAGACGGATGGAGATGTGAATCTGCATGCTAGTTAGGTTCACCCTTCCTAATGCTTCTGTCTGCCACACCTCCACTGTCTTGGGTTTGCCAGTGTGAGGGGAGAGAGGGACTTGCAATCAGTACACAGACTTATTCCTCCTGGTATCCTCACAGAGCTTCTGCTGCCTTAAGGAACAATGAGTCTTAAAGAGTAACTACAGCTGAAAATGGAATCCCTTCCTCTTAGGTCTCTGCTCTAAACAACTGAAATATTGGGAGGCTTGAGGCAGATTCTGCCTCTGAGAAAAACATGGGAGTCTACTCAGACCTTTCTAGAACCTTGGTGAGCTAATCTGCCCTACATTGCATATTGAAAAGTGAGATATGGGAGCACTCCTAGGCTGTATAGAAGTAACTTTGGAAATGGTACTTGGAAAATGAATTAGCCGGCAACTAATCTGCTCTTATCCGTGTTTCTGTGAACTGGATTCTTTTATTCTGTCTTCCAAAGCTGAGATTTTAGCAGATTTCAAACAGAATAAAAATAAAACAGAAAATAGGCATTTTTGGACTGATTACTCAACAGGGGTCGTTTGTGACAGGAAGTGCAGCTGTGTGACTAATAGGCCTGACTCTTTCTTGGCTTCTTTCCCCTTCAAAATTCTTGTTTACTGCTTAGGTTCTAAAAAAAAAAAAAATAGAATGGCAAAAGCTAGCAATATTCCAGGAAAAAATGGTCTGTGCAATAAGCAAAGGCAGTAAATTTTACAGAAAATCAGGGATACAGAACACTCCTCCAAATATTCCTTCCAGGCTCCTGACTCACGTCATTTCTCCCCCTGCTTTTCTCAAAACATATGTCTAGCAGATCCCTTTTTCTCCTGAGGGGAGGGGAAGCATATGAATCATATTTTGAACATTTAACTCTGGAATTCCTGAGAAGAAAACTAACTCCAAGGAAACAAAGGGACTTTGTGCATTTTGCACTTTATTCATTGCTATTGCTGGTTCCTAATAATCATTTTGCTTTAATCAGAAGTTGGAAAACACTTTTGCACACTGTGAAGACAAGAATCTGATCTTGATATGATGGGAAGGTTCATAGAATCACATGAAGCATTATCAACAAAGCTGATAATGTTATTGGTGTAAACTGAGAGGTAAAGAAATGCCAAGGTATAGCACTGAACGCATGAGGGATCAAAGATATGAACTGTGGTGAGGGAAATTTCCAGGAGTCAAGAGTGCCTATGGACACTTCCATTTACCCCACACTTCCTTAGAATTTGCATCGGATCAGTGGCACTGGTCTGAAAGCTTTTAATTTATGTTCCAATGCAGAAACTGTCAGGTGTGAGTAAGACCCACATGGTTTGAAGAACTGTTACAAAAATTAAGCCCTAAAAGGAACACAAAAACTAAATGAAAATTTCTTCTGGGGTTCTGATCTACTTTAACTGAGGTTATTCAAGAGGGAAACCTAACATAACATACTTGCCATGCCAAAACCACTTAAATACTGCCATGGATTTCATCGAGTATGGATTTTGAAGACTAAACAGAAATAACAGAAAAATCTGCTCTTGGTAAAACATCGCTGGTAGAGGAAGTCAGAAGAGTTACATTCTTTCTGGTTTGTATATTCTTAAGATGCAAACATAATGAATAAACAGGATTGTCTCTATTTCAAATTAGCTCAGAATGTATGCTTCATGCACCACTTAATGGCAACTGTTGCTGAGGGGGGGAATTCATGCAAGTTTATAGAGCACTTGGACAGAGCCACTATAGAAATACAGAAGACTAAAGTGGCCTAACTGTCCCATTGAAGGATATTCAGCAGGGATAGCCAACATGGTGCCCTCCAGATGTTGTGGGCTACAACACTCATCATCCTTGACCATTGATTGTGCTATTTGGGGCTGTCCAAAACATATAGAGGGCAGTGTATTTGCTACACGTGGTGTGGGGCATGAACTGAAGTTTAGAAGCAAATACATTTATATTCAGCAGTAACAAATGATTCTTCTTATTTCAGTTTGACAAAATATTTTAATTCTCTTTCAATGCAATGGCAAAAGATTGCAAAGAGCTCAGAACAGTTGCATTTCAGTCCAAAGGTGGTTGCGTTTCTCCAGCAGCACAATGATTCAGGGGCATACATCTGGTAGAGGGTTTAGCGATTCTTGAAACAAACTATGGTATATTTAAGATAGAATAGTATGTTCTACCTGAAGGGTACAGAAACTCACATTTGCCTTTAATCTCTTCTTGTTTTTTCTGCCACAATCAGACTTCAATTCCAGATGTTTCCCTTCAGGCTGGTTTGGAGCATGACAGGGTTGCTATTTTCACAGAATAAATAGTCTGGGATGTACATACAGTTACAGTCTACACACTCAAATATGCCCATTCTTGGAGATTGCTAACATTTCATTTCTCACCGGGTGGCTAACATATGGGCTGCCAGCATTTGAGGTATGTTAGCAGGGGGTTGAGTGTAGCATTTTCCATGCACTGCATACATTCCAATGTACAGTAGAAACTGCGTTTCTAGGGGCTTAGTTCCAATGAGCTTTCAGTTGCTATTGACATACATTCCCTTTTTTGAAATGTCCTCACATTTAGTTAAGAAATGTTCAGGAGAAATAGGCTGTCACTTTTCCAATAGCAAGCTATTTTTGAAAAGTCTATTAAAATCACTTTTAAAAGGCAAATTCATTGATTGCTGAAACACCTTCTTGTCAATCTGGCAAGAGTAAAAGTACGTTTATTGTCTCAATCACCATTAAGAGATCAGGTTTACTGGGGCCAGTTCAAGCCTTGGTAAAACTCCATGGCAGTCAAATAAGAGTTGTGGCGTGGCTGAATTCTGTGTGTGTGTCAGCTGCCACATCACAGAGTCTGATGTCAGGGCAGAGGTCTGAGGCAATCAGATGGCAAGCCATAAAATCTGGTTTTTTAAGTTTAGTCCTGTTTGTTTGTGTTCTGAATACCTGTGTCTGATGTAAACACTTGAGCAGCCAAAAACCTTCCAGAACAAAGCCTGTTAACAGCTAGATGTGATCCAGTAAAGATTTACTTGTTCTATATGTCTCACCATGTAATCACCTGACATTTTTCCACCAAGAAAAGCTAATAAGGGAGTAAGCAATGGGAAGAAAAGTACCGTATTTTTCGCACTATAGGACGCACTTTTTCCCCGCCAAAAATGAAGGGGAAATGTGTGTGCGTCCTATGGTGCGAATGCGGGCTTTCACTGAAGCCTGGAGAGCGAGTGGGGTCGGTGCGCACCGACCCCTCTCGCTCTCCAGGCTTCAGGAGAGCCCCAGCGCCAGCCCCACAAGGTCGGGGGACAGAGGGGGCGGAACGCCGCCATCCCGCTGTCTCCCGAAGTGGTTTGGAGGCTGACGGCGGGGAGACCCCGCCGCCGGCCCCGCAAGCTCCGGGGACAGCTGGGAGACGCAGCGCGTCTTCCCGCTGTCCCCGGACTTGATATCAAGGCGGGCGGCGGGGAGAAGAGCGCTCCCCGCTGCCTGCCCCAGCTCCGGGGACAGCTGGGAGACGCAGCGCGTCTTCCCGCTGTCCCCGGACCTGATGTGAAGGCGGGCGGCGGGGAGAAGAGCGCTCCCCGCTGCCTGCCCCCAAGCTCCGGGGACAGCAGGGAGACGCAGCGCGCCTTCCCGCTGTCCCCGGACATGATCTCCATGCGGGCGGCTGGGAGAAGAGAGCTTCTCCCCGCTGCCTGCCCCGACTCTACGGGGACTTCTGGGAGACGCAGCGCGTCTTCCCGCTGTCCCCGGACCTGATCTGAAGGCGGGCGGCGGGGAGAAGAGCGCTCTCCCGCTGCCTGCCCCCAAGCTCCGGGGACAGCTGGGAGACGCAGCGCGGCTTCCCGCTGTCCCCGGACCTGATCTGAAGGCGGGCGGCGGGAGAAGAGCGCTCTCCCGCTGCCTGCCCCGCAAGCTCCGGGGACAGCTGGGAGACGCAGCGCGTCTCCCAGCTGTCCCCGGACCTGATCTCAAGGCGGGCGGCAGGGAGAAGAGCGCTTCTCCCCGCTGCCTGCCCCCAAGCTCCGGGGACAGCTGGGAGACGCAGCGCGTCTTCCCGCTGTCCCCGGACCTGATCTGAAGGCGGACTGCGGGGAGAAGAGCGCTTCTCCCCACTGCCGGCCCCACAAGCGCCTGGGGGGGGGAAATAATTTTTTTCCCTTTATTTTCCCCCCAAAAAACTTGATGCGTCCTATGGGCCGGTGCGTCCTATGGTGCGAAAAATACGGTAATAAGGATATGATGGAAAAAACCTCCACACGTTAGTAGTGTGGTAAAACTGAAGCAGTGATATTTTCCCTTCTTCAAACTGGCACAATTTCCAGCATGTTGATACTGATCCCATTTCAGCTTTTGTATGGGGTCAGGTATGTGTGTTTCATACTTACCTTTTCCCTCACTCTTTCCAGGCACAGTCCACAGTCTTTAAAGAGTCGTGTCCACAAACCTTTGTTCCCTTCTGAAACTTTCCCTGTGAAAACATACTCTTTAGTGCTCAATTGGACCAAACATCAATTCAAGTTTTCTGCAGGTTGCTGTTTGCTCTGATTGAACGGGTTTTTGTAGGGAAAGTTCCAGAGAAAAAAAAGGGGGTTCACGGATATGGATTGTTAAAGACTGTGGACTGTGCCTGGAAAGAGCGCAGGATAAGCCCACAGAGTCCACAAACTAACACCAAATTTTAGTGGGGGGAGAGTTGAAGCAAATTTGCAAAAATAATAATAATAAATAAATCCCCTCAGATTTACTTTGAATTTTGATGGTTACTATTCTCCAACTATGAGTGCATGGCAAGTATTTGCTCTTCAGCATCAGCAGTTGACTTTGCAAAATTTTGCAGTAGCAGGCAGTATTTGCCATCTGACATGAAGCTGTAGTCATTACTTTATGATGCCACATGTAACGAGAAGGTGAATCATATACCACATAGCACAACACTGAAAAAAGGGCAAAAAACCTCTCCCTCTTGATTTGTTAAATAACTGATTTCTACATATCCCAGATTTCTCAACGCACTTCAAATGTTTTTCTTCCTCAGGTGATACTCTTTCTCAATAGCTTCATAAACATCATATGTCCACTTAAGCAATTTAATGTTTGTAATGTTTGTATATGAGGGTATACCTCAGTAGTAGAGCATGTGAAGAAGATCCCAGAAGGTCCCAACTTCAATCCCTGGCATCTCTAAGTAGGGTTGGTCAAATCCCCTGTCTGAAACCTTGGAGAGCTAAAGTCAGTCAGTGGAGACAATGTTGAGCTGGATCAATGGTTTCACTTAGTATAAGGCAGCTTCCTGTGTTATACAATAGATACACAAAACAGAAAAGACTGCTGTCTCTAAACAAAGCTATTATTTTGCACTCAACATTTGACAATCCACTTGACAGTGTTGGGCATGCAGCAATCAATGTTCTTGACAGCAGATATGTAGTAACCATCAGTATTTGACACCTGACTTTCAACAGAATTTAGAGAACTGGATATTAACTTCATCCATGTAGTCAATCAAAACAGTTGATTTTTGCCTTCCATGTCCAGCACTCGAACCATGGACTACAGTGGCTGTCAAGCTAAGAAACCCACTCTGAGATTGCTCTCGCTGTAATTTTTGAACGGCCTTCAGAGAAACCAGATTCCAATTACCTTGAATTAAATGGACTTATAAATGAAACTCTTTGGCTGTTTTGAGTTATATTTCCGAGAAAGTTATCCTTAAAATGTGGCATAAGTTTCTTTCCATGGAGCTATCATCTTGGTTTTTTTTCTGGAATTCTTGCTACAGCTGCATGATCCCTTTTGTTATCACTGACAGGCTAATATGCCCAGAGGCTCAATTTAAGAACTGAGAGGTACCAATGCTGAATCCTGCCTGGAAGCCATTCACCTGGATTCCATGCTGCCAAATTCCAGGTGTGTGGTTGCTGGCTGTGATCACCTCATGGTGAGGGAAAGGTACCCTACAGACACCTAGAGGCATTTTACTAGTTCACATGTTCCAGGGATGAGTCCAGGCATCTAAAATAAGATCTGAGGCTCAGCCCTAGCTCAAAGTAAGCATTAAGTTAGTAAATTAATAAGTTAGCAAGTTAGTAATCTGCAGAGTAGTTCAAAATCTCTGGGCTTTCGTGCTGGCTGTAGATGCAAAGCCTGGCACTGCTGGATTGTGCACAAATTCACTGATGGATATGTGTTCTAGTTTTTTAATTTGTAATGTTGCTATTGTACAACTCAAATTGTATAATGAAAATATACACGTGATGTCTACCCAGTGCAAAGCAGCTGTGAAGAAGGTGAATTCCATGTCGGGGATTGAAAATGGTGGTGTTCATTACCACAGGATAGTTACCAACTTGGACAGCTTTAAAAGCAATTCCGCTTGGCATCTGGGTTGGCCATGGTGAGAACAGGAGGCTAGACTAGATTTAGTGTCAAAGGCCTTAGTCAGATCAATAAATGCCATATACAGGGGTTGGTTTTGCTCTCTGCGTTTTTTTTTTAAGCTGTCCAGTGGAAAAAATCATGTCCACTGTTCCCCTAGAAGGTCTAAAACCATTTTGGGATTCAGGAAGGGTCGCCTTGGATATTGTTGAGAGACGGTTTGCTAAGATCCTTGCAAGAATTTTGCCGGCTGCAGCTAATAGAGAGGTGCCTCGATAGTTTCTCTAATTGGTTCTGTCACCTTTTGTTTTAAGAGATTGATAATTTTGGCATCCCTAAAGTCTGCTGGCTCTCCTCTCTCTCCCAGATTTTTTTTGATGAGTTTGTACAGATGCCTGATAATTGTCTGCCAAAGCAACTACTCTATTCCAAACTTAAAAATGGAAAGTGTAATGTTGGTGGTCAACAAAAGAGGTTTAAAGACTCTCTCAAGGCAAATTTTTAAAAATGTAGTATAAACACCAACAACTGAGAAACACTGGCCTGCGATTGCTCCAATTGGAGAATAGCCTTTACCAAAGGTGTCATGGGCTTTGAAGATGCTCGAACTCGACGAAAGGGAGAAACGAGCTAAGAGGAAGGCATGCTTGGCAAACCCTCACCACGATCAACTCCTGCCCAGAAACCTATGTCCCCACTGTGGAAGGGCGTGCAGATCTAGAATTGGCCTCCACAGTGACTCATGGACTCACTGTTAAAACCGTGTTTATGGAAGACAATCTTACTTGGCTACAAGTGATTGCCAAAGAAGAAGACACTAGATGGGTCTTTGGTTGATGCGGCAGGGCTCTTTTTTATATTCTTAGGATCATATCTTTAAATTATCTCTGTTGCCAGCACTAGCTATTTGGATACAATTATAATTTCCTCCCAAATAGAGTTTTCCAAGTGGCAAGCATTTTTGAAAATTGTATTTTTTTCTTCCCTCAATTTCCCCTCCCCATTTTTTAAATTTTTTTTTGCCAACACCGGTATTGGTGGCAGTTCTGCCATTTTAAGAGTTGGAGAAGTGAGGTTCTTTTGCACGTACTCATATGCTACAGAGGCCAAGACCAAGACTTCCTCAAAAAGGTCAGTTTTATATAGAAAAGCAAGCAGGCTAATCACCTCCCCTCGCTGCCTTTTCCTAAGGCTCTTGGCATCTGGCCCTGTTATGTGCAACCCGCAGTTTGACCAATGCTTCCTCTTGTTTGCTACTGCATACTCAACTAAACTGTATAACTGAAGGGAAGCTTATGCCAGTTATTAGTGCTGAGGCAACCCATGCCCCCAGATGAGGGGGTAGTTTCATGAAGCATTTCCTTCTGGAGCCTCTGCTTTCAAGGGAAAAAGGTTATGTGAAGGGCTTTTCGCTCGTCTCTTATTAACTGGTGGTTGTTGTTGTTTTAAAAAATGTAAATACTAAATTTTCTTTTTTGTTGTTGTTTCAAGATTTAAATTAATTGCAGAAAAAAATGTGAGGTACCTGTACCTTTTATTCTTCTAAACATTCCCTGTGCATTCATAGAGATGGCAGTCAAGTGGCACATCAAGCATTCTCAAAAACCATTCTCCTAGGCTGCTTCTCCCTCATTCTCTTCCACCAAGTTCTGCACATGATCAACCCAAACAGCCAATTTACAATTTACCAACAAAGTGTGCCACAAGATAGATTGGCTATTGGTAACGGTCACTCTACAGCAGCCAGCTTCTCATATACACTACTTTTCTGGGCTGTAATTACTCCCATGCTGCTGCAGTATGTGCGTTGATACTGCAACCACTTGGGTGGGGCCAATCATGTGGTCTTTCCCACCCAATTACTTATCTGGTTGAAAGGACATGTACAATTGGTGCCCCCTACCTACTTGGGGTCGCACACATACACTACAGGAAAGCAGATTCCATACAGTATTAGAGAAGTGTGAAGGGGGCATTGCTGCTTGTAAGTCCAGATGGAGAGAAGGAATAGTAATATTTTCCTGTCCCATCCTTACTGTAGAGTAAGAAAAAGTATTAACCACTGCTAAATGTTGGAGCATCACTTGAATATTCAATAAGGAGTGCTTACTACTGAAGAAAAATAGCTGTACCATGTTGGGTATACTTCTAAAGACAACAACACATTTGAAACAGTAGTATATATGAAGCAGAAACCTGATTTATAACTGGGTTTGTTTACCTTTTTCTCCTCACCACCCATCATTTGCAATAATATGATAAAGTACAAATTGATTAGCAGCTATTAGAAGCCCTAAAAGACATGGAATATGTAGTATGGTGATGTGCAGAAGCGTCAGTACAAAACAAATGTAAGCTTGCTGCACGTAAAGGGAAATAATGTCACTGTTATTGTAACTAGAAAGTATGTTGGGCATGCCAAGCAACACTGAATCTAATCTTCTCTGGCTGCTTTTCTGCTCCCTAGGCTCTTCATCTATCTTTATCTCCCCTGTCCCCCAACTGAAGAGAAAATAAGTACTTTTTGAGTACAAGCAATAAATCAAAAAGTCTCTGGTGTTCTGCATCAACTCCTCAGATTGTTTAAAATCCAGAAACTAACATACAAAATAAGAATGTAGAAACAGAACAGGCAGTAAGGAATATGGGACCCAGGAGCACAACAAAGTTTAGCATGTGGAAGGGAGAATGGAAATAAAACTTGGTATAAAGGAGAAGAGATCATAATGTCCTTCTCTGAAGTTTCCAGATCATACTCTGACATGATATTGAATGCAAAACTATTATTCTAGAGATGTAACTGACTGACTTTTGGAAGTATGGAGCCTAGTTTAGCACAAATGTCACTATAAAGTTTTCCAAGATGAAGCACATACCCTCATGGGACAGGGCACCGAAAGACCATAAAAGAATGGGAGGAAAGTATTATTTGCTAATTATATAAATTACAGACCACTCTTAATTTCAATATAAATCCCACAGCAGATTGCAATAAACCATTAAGACCAACAAATATTGTTTAAAACCTCAGTATCAACCTTTTCAAATCTCCTATGGGTTTTTAGAGTATTATTTGCCTTTTGCTTTTGCTTTGTTTTCTGTGTGTGATTTTGGTAGCTGGAGAAACAAATATTTTAAAAATGCACACTTGACGTCAGTTCAACACAGTTCAACATCAGAGGCGCACATCAAGATCAGTGCATCTGTGAGGGCAGGCCAGTCAATTCCACCTTCAATTGAACAAATGCAGATGCTGTGAAAGATCGTAGATGCCTAGCCATACTGAAACATTCCAAAGCTGACTGAACAAAATGACCAATTGCAAAGACATAAGCCGGGGGGCCTGAGTATGTGGCTATTAGGGTATGGAGCGGGAGTCTTCCTGGTAGAAGGTGGACAGGGAAAGTAAGGTTCACCCTCGAATGTGGCTAAGGCAGAAGGAATGGGGAGGGAAGCTTTATAGCATGGTCTCTCTCCATATGTGCCTGTCCATATACTAATGTCTTCATCAGAGAGCCTTCTCTGGGCTTCCCCACCTTCCTTTTTTTAATAGGTAGCTAGATACTTTCTCTTTAAACTGCTGCCCCCCACCAGACTGAATACTTGGAGAGTATCCTATTGATGGAAAAGTATGCAAAAAAGGGGAGGGAGGGCTGCAGAGATAGTTGAGGCAGGACCCACTGGGGTTGAAGGAGTAGGGAACAGGGAGTTAGGAAAGGGGCCAACAAGAAACCTGAAGAGGGAGCAAGCAAAATGAAAGAGACACCAAGAAGACAGTGAGCCAGGGGAAAGCCTCCTATGTTGTTGTTTAGTCGTTTCGTCGTGTCTGACTCTTCATGACCCCATGGACCAGAGCACGCCAGGCACTTCTGTCTTCCACTGCCTCCTGCAGTTTGGTCAGGCTCATGCTGGTAGCTTCAAGAACACTGTCCAGCCATCTCGTCCTCTGTCGTCCCCTTCTTCTTGTGCCCTCCATCTTTCCCAGCATCAGGGTCTTTTCCAGGGAGTCTTCTCTTCTCATGAGGTGGCCAAAGTATTGGAGTCTCAGCTTCAGGATCTGTCCTTCCAGTGAGCACTCAGGGCTGATTTCCTTAAGAATGGATAGGTTTGATCTTCTTGCAGTCCATGGGACTCTCAAGAGTCTCCTCCAGCACCATAATTCAAAAGCATCAATTCTTCGGCGATCAGCCTTCTTTATGGTCCAGCTCTCACTTCCATACATCACTACCGGGAAAACCATAGCTTTAACTATATAAAGCCTCATATACAGCTTGGCAATCACGAGGGTTGTGTGCAGATGGAAAGAATTGGGAGTGGAGAGGCAAAGGCACAAATTCAGTGAGATGGGGTGTGTGTGTGTGTGAATTTCACATGCCAAACTCAGACAACTAGCCCAACTTTGGGATATCAGTAAGATATATTGCACTTCAGTTTGTAATTTGTCTTTGAACTTTTAAAATATATCTATTATATATTTTGGAAAGCTTGTTTGTCCAGCCACTATGCATTTGGACACCTTAGAGATCGTAACCAAGCTTTTCATGATGGTTCCTGAGATCAAGATGCAGGTTTTTCCTCTATGTTTGGATACAATTGGGTGCTATTTTGAATCAAGATGGCAGTCTGAATCTTTCACAACTGGAATGAACCATTGGTTTCAGAATTACACTGAATTTTTGGTTTCATAGAATTCCCGGGAAATGCTGGGTACAAGGTTGCTAGTTTTCTATAGTTTTCTTGAACACTCTTTAGGTTCTAAACATGTTGTGACCAGTGCTTTTTTTCTCTCCAGGGGGTACTCTGGAGTATGCAGTACCGGCACCTCCTTTTTCATTGTTAAAAAGTGTAACAACTTCATGGTGAGAAACGGCACCTATTTTTCTAGAAAAGTAGTACTGATTGTGAACCATCTAATAACCCAGCAGTAATGGGACCAGTGTTACAGTGAGCAGGAAGAACCACCAGGACATAATGCTGGCAAACAGCAATCCATTATTCAAGGCTTACATGCTTTAGGGAGTGAGGGAGAAAGGAATATGGTTTTAATTTCAGGCCTTCACTTTCTAGGTGCCCCCAAGGGGCATACACATTTCCTATATAAAGTTCAGTCTGTTTGCAATTAAGTCCTCCTCCTCTGCTTATTCCTAGCTAAATTAAAAATAGTAAAATCAGGATAACCTTGGACTTTTTGACATAAACAAGGCCACTGTTTGCAGAGGTATAAATATACTGATCAGGTTTATGGGTTTTAGAAGGCTGAAACAGCCTTGTGAACTTTTCATGTTGAACGAATGTTATGTTTCAAAGAACTAATAAGCATCTGTGCCTCCTTTTGAAACCTGAAGGCTTTTCAGTGAGAGCAACTTCTTATTTGAACTTCAAGTGTAGTCCTGTATAATACCAGCCCTGGAAGCTAACTTCATTTATCTGAAATAAATAAAAAAATTCCTTCCAGTAGCACCTTAGAGACCAACTAAGTTTGTTATTGGTATGAGCTTTCGTGTGCATGCACACTTCTTCAGTAGCGGTATCTGAAGAAGTGTGCACGCACACAAAAGCTCATACCAATAACAAACTTAGATGGTCTCTAAGGTGCTACTGGAAGGAATTTTTTTATTTTGTTTCGACTACGGCAGACCAACACGGCTACCTACCTGTAACTTCATTTATCTGGGCTCGCTGCAAATAGCTCTTAAGTGAGTTCAGGGATTTCTGTGTATGGTCTGACTAAATTTCACCCACCATACAATATTTCTCCACAAAATACGCACCCCACAATATGTTTGAGGAGATGGGGGAAGATGCTCTGTTTTTTTGCCACTTCTGTCATAATATACACTAATAAAGGTACTCAATTCTTTGAGTGTGTATGCATATGGACTCAAAATGACATGACCCACAAACTAGAGGGAGGTAGCACCATGCTTAGGGAAACCCCAAGGTTTGCAGATGTACAAAAAGTATTTAAGGGGGAAAACCTTCCAAAGGGGTTGTGGGAGATTCTAAAACAGCCTAATAAGGAATGCTCTCAGTGGTCATGGAGCGCTGGTGTGAATGGTGCACATAATAATAATTTCTACCTCTCTTGTATTACTTGAACTTTCAGGATAGACAAAAGGAAGTACTTCCTTGTGCAAGACATGTTAAATTCTGGAGGAAGCTTTACCAAGATATAGTGATGATTGCCAACTTGGACGGCTTTCAAAGGGGATTGGGCAAGCATTAATCTATCAGAAGGTATCAGGCAATATGCCTCTAAATATTAGTTGATAGAGAACACCAGCAGGAGAAGGCTGTTGCATGCCCCTGGGCATCTGGTTGGCCACGGTGAGAACAGAATGCTGGACTAGATGGGGCTTTAGTCTAATCCAGCAGGGCTCTTCTTAACTTCTTAGCCTAATGTTCACCCTTTGCTCTCAGAACAATCAAGTAACACTACCATTTCTGACTTTTTGAAACTCAAAGAACTTTTAGTTTTACTCTTAACAATTTATCCTAGACAAAGAGTTTTGGTGGAGTTTAAAAACTTCATTTGTTTCATTTAAGCAATTCAAGTTTGCCCAATAAAGGATACCACCACGACATTATTTTCTTTCCTTTTTTCTTTTCTTTTGGCAGCTTGTGATTTTCCAATTGGAGATATAAACTCCAGCAAGCAAATTGCAGGTAGGGTGAATTTCTTCTGTACCAGCACCTCCCTGCCTCGTGCCTCTCTCTACCCTCTCACCCCAGGCATTCTTTGCTGCTCTGTTTATATTTCAGAAACCATATGCCAAAAAGGAATCCCCTCTCAGCAGTAAATAGGTCCAGGAGAAACTAACTCAGCAATAGTCAAGCAAGAGACTGGCTATATGGGTATAACTTTTCTATTTTTTATGACACTATTTAGGATTAGGGAAAATTAGAAAGAAAGGAAGTTCTTTTTCCCATTTCCCCACTTTTTGTTGAGCACAATTGGCCAGGTGTGTTTCTCCTGGCAACTCTTTACTAAGCCTTTTAAAGGCCCATGGGGAAATGTTTCCTCAGTCCCACGTTGTATAAATACACATTTAGATATTAGTGCTTCTTTAATTTTTATTGTTCAAGTTCTATGGAACTCCTTGCTACAATAACTCAGAATTCTGTGGTGACTTTTTTTGTTTTGTTTTGCTGTGACCCATTCCCTTAGAATGCTTTTAGAACCTCCCAGTAGCTTAGTATAATAGGTTTAGGTGTGAGATTGACTCCCACACTGGAGAAAGAATGAACTATTAGCTAAGATGGTTCATTAAAGGGATATTTTGTACATTAAAGTACTGACGTTTACTATAGGGTCTTGATTATCATTTCTAAGCACTCAATAGATTTGGTTGCTGAAACCTGCCTATCAGAGGCATTTATTTCAGGTCCAATTACCTAAAGCTCTAACCCAGCCAAATTCACTCAAAACTCGGTCCAGTAACTGGATACAATCTGCTTCTGACACCAAATTTCCTCCAGGTGTACTTAGGACTGCCTGGACAGTTTAGCTTTACACATCGACAGCCTGTTAGTCTAATACAGCCTCTGGCTCCCTTCCTTTGATACTGACCAGCAAAGTATAGTTATCACACTGGGCAGGACCAGCTTAGACCTCAGCTATCCCACTTTGCCTCAGCTTTTACTGGTCTTAGCCATCATCAACTGACTTTCCCAATGGTGTTCTTTCTCCACACTTGACAGTTAACTGTCCTTTTTTCACTGACTAGGACCGCCAGCCAATCAGAATCTCGTTCTTCCTGAAGGAGAATTCAGTCTGAAGAAAAGCAGAAATTTGCTTTCCACTCAGTATCACAGATGCCCTCTCTTCCCTGCCATGTGTTCCTGAAACCTGGGACTGTTCCAAATCTTAAACATACTGGAAAGCATATCCTTAGGCCAGCTGTGATCTGATCATGCTGTAATGAATGAGAGAAAACAAAAACCAACACAGAGCTGGGCAAACAATAGGGCTCCTTGTTCTAGCCTGGAAGTGATCTTCATCCTCCATACCCCTCTCTCCATCAAAGCATCCCGCAAAAAGCAAGATTCTGAGAGGGTTATGCAATATGCCCTGGGTGATCCTTTCTTGACTAAAGTGGCCTGTTTTGTTTTGGAGGTGACACTCCTTGCATTGGAGAACATATGGGAAGGGAACTATTATAGATCCTTTAAAATATGATCAGCAAAGCAGTCATTATTTCTGCCATTTATAAGCTTTGTGGGGGTGTTCAAGGCTAGGGTTTTTTAAACTTCTAAAACAAGGACTAGAAATGATTCTAGTCCTTCTGTAAATCATCTGGAAATGATAATTTTAATCTTGGATCAGAACTGTTCTGCGAAAATCCACAAATAGCTCAGTACTGTTCTGATAAAATCCACAAATTTTGGAAGGGCCCAGAATTCTATTGATGTGGCATATATTATACATTCTGAGACAGATTTATCACAGCAAATGAATATATTGACCTTTTTATATATAAAAAAGTCTGAGAATGCTCTTTTCTCCTCATTCTAGCCATCACAAATGATGCAAGATCAATAGGGCAATTCTGTGCATGTTTACTCAGAAGTCACCAAGTTCAGTAAGACTTACTTCCAAGTAAATGTGTATAGGATTGCAGCTTACTTTCTTCTCATCATTTTGAACTGGAAATGTACTAAAACTTTAGGAACTCATTTGTAAACTAACTGTGCCTTTTGAGCCCTACTCACCCTGTCTTCAACAGAGAATGCAAGAAAACACTGTTTTATCACTTTCTTCTGTATCAAAATCCTTGAAAACCATGGATCTGTCCTCTCCATCAAAACAGAGTACAACTCTTTCTTTCCAGAGATGGAGAAAACATCCCTTTCTTAATAGAAATAACAGAAAAATAGATATTGCTGTCAGCCTGTAATACTACTGTTGATTAGAATGGAACCCATTAGAAATGGCAGGAAATGCTTCTATCTGCAATATTACACTATTTGAGATGCGAGTGAAGTCTTTGACTCTTCAGCAGTTTTGCCTGCTCCCAGCCTCTGCATAGTTTCTGTATGAAGTTTTTACATCTTCTGATGCTCAACCCTTTCCTTGCCAAGGTTCCTACAGGCCTCAGCCTCTTCCACCCATCCCTTTCTGAGGCATTTTCTTTTTAACCTTCCTTCTTGGTCCTCTGTTTGTTAGACCCACTGCTTCCCAACAGCATCAATCCTCCCTTTCCCCCAATGAAGTAGTAGTCACACTTTGATAATTCGGCTGCCACTAACAGATGGTAGTCAATGGAGGACTGGGCCTGGCCTCTTGATGTGGCTGCTGATAGAGGCCGGGCTTACCGTATTTTTTGCTCTATAAGACTCACTTTTTCCCTCCTAAAAAGTAAGGGGAAATGTGTGTGCGCCTTATGGAGCGAATGCAGGTTGCGCAGCTATCCCAGAAGCCAGAACAGCAAGAGGGATTGCTGCTTTCACTGCGCAGCGATCCCTCTTGCTGATCTGGCTTCTGAGATTCAGAATTTTTTTTTCTTGTTTTCCTCCTCCAAAGACTAGGTGCGTTTTGTGGTCTGGTGCGTCTTATAGAGCGAAAAATATGGTAATCTGTGTGGGATAGGTGTAGAGACTCCAGACATAAATGTTGGTGCAAACCAGAGTCATAAGTGCGGAGAGCACTAGAAGCCGCTTGTGCCTACACTGCTCAGATCAAACTGGTCCCTCTTTTGAAAGCTGCCTCCTAGCGGTAGCTAGCATGAGTACATATTCTCCTCAGCTATTTAGCCAGTATGAGCACATACTCACTTCCACAGCTACTGCTTTGTACCTCAGTGCACTGGAACACAGGAAGTTGCTAGTTCTAGGCTCTATTTCCATTCAGTTCCCCAGCGCTCAGCCTTCCTGTCACATGCCAGAAATATACTGTTATGCCAGTAATTTAGCCCCTACACTTAAAAACAAAAAACAGTACTCAAACAGTGCTTTTTCTTTAGTTGTCAGTTATTTGGTTCTTTAATTCAATATAGTCCATTTCCTTTTTTTTAAAAAAGCAAAAAAAGAGTGCATGCGTGCAGGAGGAGAGAGGGAGACTTGAATTAGGCTGGAATGCTGAAAAGAAGCATGCCAAGGTCAAAGCATATGGAAAACAGACAGGAGGGCTATATATAGTACACAATGACTTGCACTAATTTATGTGTTAAATAAAAAGAAAGGGGAAAAAGGAGAATTCAGAATTGTTTGGAAAATGAATGAGAGATGTAATGGAAAAAGAACATAAGCTTAGGGAAGGAGCTGGAAGTTATTTAAGTGACTTGCTGCTATAAAGGCTGCTGTGGGGAAAATTGCCACATAGAGTCAGCAGATGTATTGAGAAATAATATGGACAGATAACGTATAACTGTGCAAATGCTTAAGTCTGAAGGAATGTAAAAGTATTTCCAGATCAGAAGGACACTTAGAACATTCACAGTATCACACGTACAATGGCTATACATACCCAACTATGTGTATCTTGTGATTACATGCAAGGATAAAATAAAGCCCAGAATGTTGTATTAGTTGCAAAATTCAGGGTCCCGAGAAAGCTTACTACTTTAAAATTTACATAGTAAGCTGCCAGCTCTTGTGGCTGTGAACATAGGCTTGAAAGGGAAGCCAATTTGTTGGAAACTGATACCATGGGTCATTCAGGTGAGCCTATGAAGACATGCCTACCTTTACTTCCCACCACAGCCTTTACCTATATGGAAGAGAAAACTAACCTGTGGTCCGGTTTTCTAGTGAAGAGGCAGCATGACACCCATGATTTGTAGCAAGATGCTCCTAGAACCTTTGGTATCCAGTCCTAACTTTAAACTCCCAGGTCACCATGAACCTTGGTGCGAAAGCTCTGGTTCCTTCTTTCCTCTCTGGAACAGATTGGTGCTTCAATCTCTCTTTCTCATTTCCCTTGATCTTGTTCTCTTGCCTCTCTGTTCTGCCCTCATATACTCAATTCCACCCCATTTACATTTCAAGCTTGCCCCACTATAGCCTCTATTGCAGCCTAGGGCCCTCCCCTCTCACATAGCGGCAGTAATTCTCTCTCTTTATCTCTCTTCCTTCTCCTCTGTACAATTAGGCAAATTAGATGATGGCCTTGGTTGTGCCTTATCTAGGTAGCCCCAAAATCTTGGATAGTGTGCTTCCATTGACAATACTAGTAAATATTCATGTAAGGCTACATGTATGATCAGAGATGCATGTTAACAACACAGGAATGCTATACTGAGATAGAATTGGGAACTGTGGTATCTCACAATATATCACATTGGAGCTGGAAGAATTCTGATATTAAGAACACTCTTTAGTTAAAAATAATAAAATAGCAGGAACAGTAACTGTCCTAAGCAGCATTTGCCTAAAGAGTTTACCTGTGGCTACACCTGCATAGGCACAGGTCACCTTTTAGCCAAATACCAATCTTCTAGAAATTTCTCTTTGCTTTTTCTGTTGTTTCCACTGGCCAGATCTGAAAATGACTCCATCCTTACTTGCTTTCCAATTGTAATGAGAAAGTCAAGGTATTTGATTTAAGGGAAATTTCTTAACCTTGGCCCAAATCCAGAGAAAATTGGACATAAACTTCATGTGTAATAAATTAAGGGTCCCAGAGCCACCGGTTAATGGTTTGTTTGATTTTGTCTCCCAACCCTTATTTTCTTTTTAAAAAGCTCTTTAGTCCTATGGTGCTGCATCCTCAACTAGGATGCAGATTTGAAACTGTTCTGCTGAAGTCAGCAGAAGAAGGGGATTTACTGTAATAGCTTCTAGAGCACTGACGGTGAGTCAGATTTGTTCTCAACCTGTTTCCTAAGAAATGTGTACAGACCCAGCTGGGTGCTCTTTGTAATTCTGGCAAAGGTCAGCTCTGTCTCTTAGGATACTTAGTGAAAAGGAGAAAATTAGAAAAGGAAACTTAGTGTAAACAGTTCTCTGCATTGTTTCAGAAGCAATTAATGGTGTTTCGTCTGGTGTCAAATACCCAGGTGGGAATAAGCAAATAATACCACCAAACAGAATGCTCAGCATAGCCACAAGGACAAAATCACTTGTTCCCACAGATGAGGTAGAAGCTAAACTGCCTGGTTGTGTTTGACTCATTCAGCTGTTGTTTTGGTTTCAAAATATGAGCACAGGGTACTGGTAGGATGGGCCCTTTTACTACATTGACTTCAGTTGGCTCACTAGGTTCAAGTTGCTCAAGTGAGCACAAAAAATAGCATTCTTTTAACAAGATAAAAATATACAGTGGTACCTCAGGTTACAAACACCTGGGTTACAAACACTTCAGATTACAGACTCCACTAACCCGGAAGTAGTACCTCGGGTTAAGAACTTTACCTCAGGATGAGAACAGAAATCGCGTGCTGGCGGTGTGGTGGCAGCAGGAGGCCCCATTTGCTTAAGTGGTACCTCAGGTTAAGAAGGGTTTCAGGTTAAGAACGGACCTCCAGAACAAATTAAGTTCGTAACCAGAGGTACCACTGTATTCCTAGGAATATTTGATATCTAAAATTCATCCACTGCATTTTGAAATAGCTTGTTGTTCAGTCCAGTTTACAACAGAACTTAACACAATAAAACCAATGTTAAAAACTATTTCTCTAGAATCTTTTTGCTGTACAGTCGTACCTTGGTTGTTGAACGCCTTGGTACTCAGAGGTTTTGGCTCCTGAACGCCGACAAACCTGGAAGTGAATGTTTCAATTTGTGAATGTTTTTCGGAAGCCTAATGTCTGATGGGACTTCCGCAGCTTCCAATTGAGTGCAGGAAGCTCCTGCAGCCAATCAGAAGCTGCGCCTTGGTCCTCAAACAGTTTCAGGAGTCGAATGGACTCCTGGAACGGATTAAGCTTGACAACCAAGATACGACTGTACAGGTAATAAATAATTCCACCCCAGATGCCTTTGCCTGCCATCTAAAAACAAACCAACCCATAATGATGGGCTAACATGAGTTTCCCTAGTAAGGAGTTTGACACTGAGAAGGCCCTACTCTAAGTCTCAACCAGGTTAACTAAGCCAATGGGGGGGGGAGAGAGAGCAAGGTTCCTCAATGAATATTCCAGTGCTCTGAGAACACTGGTTTAT